GCAAAAGATAAAATCAAGTTTGTCACAGAGTATCTTTAAGATCATTTAACTCAATAGTAAGACTAGTAAGAGAGAGTTGCATACAACAAAGAAGAAGGGGTTTTTGTGTGTTGATAAATAGAAAGTTGAAGACAATGTAGAGGTTTTAAATGGAATCATTTAACCTTTGATGTTATCCTCTACAACAGCAGCATCACTTGGAAGATCAATCCCCTTTGGAATCTTCCCCGGATAATCAGTCACTGAAACGTCCGATCCCAACATACTGTGAAATTAAACATGCCAAAAAAAACATTAGACTATACATTTCGTTACATCTCCAAAGCCAGAGAAAATGAATGAAGAAATCTCCAAAACCTTCGATCGACGATCACCACTGAACGTAGCTCGCAATTCGCAAAGCTGCAAATCAAATACAAGTTAGAGTAAATGCAACAGATTACAATTTCCTCACGAAGGATTTTGGAGCTTACTGGCTGCAGATTTCCTTCTTAACATCAGGATGACACTCGTTCTGCAGTGCATTCAGTGTGTGAAACAAGAAACCACTGTGTGTCACAATCGCTATCTCTTTTTCTTTCCTCGTCCATAGCCTACAAATCCGAAACTCGCCATCACACACAGTTTTGATTCCCCCAGCATTTTCCGATCAATCGATCAAATATCAAATAGCAAGATACAAACTTTATAGAGCTACTATTGGATGTTTTCATAGCTCTGCATTATCTATGAAAAAGGAGCTAGCTTTCCTAGATCTTTAGGCAAGGTTTGAGTTATGTATAAAAAGAGAAATGTACCAGTTAAGGAACTTTTTTCCCCTAGCTGCAAGTTCTTGGATTGTTTCTCTAACGTCAGCTTTCCATAACTTGTCTTCGTCGCTTTCTATCTGAAAGCAATATATAAATGCGAGGAGTCACTTGGGTGGAGTTGTACGTTGCTAATAGTTTTGATTGAGCAAGCAGAAGATTACAAGCAATAATCTATGCCAGGCACATCTAAGACTCTCAATTTTTACTTGCCAGTGAAAAGTCAACTGCCGGGAATAGAAACTGATAGTCGCTGATACTTCTTCTCTGATCGCATGGATGCACTCCCTGTAAGCATATGCAGGGGAAACAATTTGATTGTGAAGATGATGGATAAATGCAATGCCCTCCAATTTCTAGGCTAAGTAAGGACGTACCAAATGTTCTCTGCAGGACTCCTCTGTAATGATTGGTGGGCAGTTTAAACTCGATATAGCTGCACGGCTGCTATTTCCTGCGTTTGCTACCATCAGAGGCAGTACATCACTCATCTCTGTGTAGCCCTCTCCACCGAATACACCAACCGCAGTTTGCATTGTTCTACGTATACAACAAAACACACATATATCAACAGTTTTCACATTTTCAAAAGGCTCATCATCTAAACGGAGTTTTCATTTTCAATTATGCATTTTTCAAACAATGAATTGCAGAACACAGTCTTACACAATCTATTAGTCTAACCAGAAAGACCAATTAGGCTAAGAGCTCTTTGTAATCACAGAAAGTCTAAAGTACCTCATGAGTGGAGACGAGATGACGAGTTCGATCTTCTTGTGAAGTCCACTGGAATGAACATGCTTACGCAAACTATCTACCTGTCACCGTCAGAAACCAATCAATCAAGGAACTGAAAGTGGAAAGTGGAATCTATATGTTTACATGAAGCTGAAGCAGAGCAAGTGCAGCTCTCCCTTTCTCCGTACCTGTTGCCACCCAAGTTGGGTCAGTTCTGCATCAAAGTACTCATGAGACATGTAAGCCTTATAGTTCTTCTCCCCATCAACATTGTGAATCCCTTGAGCATGCCTCACCTGAACAACAACAACAACAAAAAGTAGTCAATACCATCCCCCAAATCCTCAGACACTAACATTATATCATCTTGAATTTTTCAAAATGATGGCTCAAAGAGAGAGATTAAACAACACTCACTAGGTAGATGGTTTTGCAGCGGTGCAAAGGGTACAGACCTATACCAGCACCAGTCTCCATTTCTGCAAACTGATTCAAGCACTGATCAAAGAGATGAACAAATTCTCCATCAATTTACAAAAAAAAAAAAAATACAATTTACAAGGAAGCACGCTGTTCTGAGACACAGTGACTTTGTACAGAAAATCAAAAGGAAGAATCACTCAATCCATCAAAGGCACAGATGACTAAAACCCGATGAGATCTTGTGGCTAAACCAAGAAATGAACCTAAAAATCAGACAGTTGAGGAAGAATACGAGAGACAATGCAGGCGATTATGATTACAAAATTACCCAGAAAAGTAAGCGACTTTCACACAATCACTCATTCACATAGATGCATACGTGCGTATACATATTAATATATATATATACACACACACACATATTGTTGACTTACCGGAGATTCGAGGAGATAAACCAAAGGAGGCTGAAGAGAGAAGATGGGAGAATGAAGTAGGAGAATATGGATTAGTGGATGATTAAATTTTTTGGTTATTTTTTTATTAATTGTTTTGATCTGCAATTATCCTTTTAATTGTTTTGGATCCATGCAATAGGACCAATAGATTACAAAAATAATAAAATGTGGAGAGAAAACTGGTAATTTTTCTAACCACGTATCCGAACCATCTGGGTCCGCTTCATATGATTACAGAATCGAACCAAGCCAAAACAAAACTCTATAGAAACCAAAACTGTATTTTACATTTCGAAGTTGAACCATCCATTATTATTATCATCCACACCTCATCTATCCATTTGATTGTTGTTCTCACATCACAAATATCTAGTTTTGAAGATCTTTCCAAAAGAATAAGCTTCTAATCAGATTCTATTTAAACCGAAAACCCAAAACCAAGTAAAAATCAAACTGAAAACCGCAAGTAGAATTTAAACTGGAATATTATAAACCGAACCGAAATGAATTTCCGGTTTAACCGCGAGATTGCAGTGAAACACTCTTCGTCTTCCTTCCCCTTCAGATTTGGCTTGAATCGATGGAGTTCGGATCCAGACGAATCTACACGACGATGCCGTCGAAGCTCCGATCTTCACTTCTTCCACGTATTTTCCTCATTTCACTCCTCTTACTCCTCGTCTATTCCATAATTCTTCTCCGCCGTCCGATCACTTCGGACCTCATCTCTCCTCCGCCGTGCGATCTCTTCTCCGGCCGATGGGTCTTCAATCCAGAATCTCCGAAACCAATGTACGACGAGACTTGCCCGTTCCACAGAAACGCTTGGAATTGCTTACGGAACAAGCGAGAAAACATGGGTGCTATCAATTCCTGGAGATGGGTGCCCGATGGCTGCGGGTTAAATCGAATTGACCCGACCCGATTTCTAGGGCTGATGAGGAACAGGAACATTGGGTTCGTCGGGGATTCTCTGAACGAGAATTTCTTGGTTTCCTTCTTGTGCATACTTAGAGTAGCTGATCCAAGTGCAGTGAAGTGGAAGAAGAGAAAAGCTTGGCGTGGAGCTTATTTCCCCAAGTTCAATGTCACTGTTGCTTATCACAGAGCTGTTCTTCTCGCCAAATATCAGTAAGATCTCTTATTTACAGATATTGAAATCTTTTTTATGGGTATTAGCTCTTGAAAGGATCATCAGATTCTTGATGAGTATAGGGACAAATCAAAACTCAAACTCAGGATTTCGGGGTTCAGATTGCCAAAGTTATAGGCTTGTTATGTAGTTTTGCAAATGTTTTCAGAGTTCGTAGAGGAATTTCAATTCTGTGTATTTGTCATATATGTTGGATTGTACAGCCTTATGTTCATCTAAACTGATATGATAAAGGTCGCAGCCGAGACCTTCTGCAGAAGCTAATGAAAACAGAGTTAAAGGAATTTACAGAGTAGACGTAGATGTTCCTGCAGATGAGTGGATCAACGTCACTAGCTTCTACGATGTTCTCATATTTAACTCTGGCCATTGGTACATATACTTGGTATCCCTTTTCTTGTTCTTCTCTGTGTTTACAGTTTTGTGAAGAAATGATTCATAGATTTTTTGGGTCTAGGTGGGGTTACGATAAGTTTCCTGAAGAGACACCTCTTGTCTTCTATCGAAAGGGAAAGCCGATGAACCCTCCCCTTGATATACTGCAGGGATTTGAAGTAGTTCTTCAACATATGGTTTCTTATATCCAACGAGAAGTCCCAGCAAAGACACTCAAGTTCTGGCGCTTGCAATCGCCAAGGCATTTCTATGGCGGTGATTGGAACCAAAATGGGAGTTGTTTGCTCGATAAACCACTCGACGAAAACCAGGTACTCTCTACCGAGGAAAGCTCTGTTTCTTTTGATCTCAGTCCTTGCCTGATAAAAAGATGATGTTGATGCTAAGACCTAGACAGCTTGACTTGTGGTTTGATCCCAGGAACAACGGAGTGAACAAAGAGGCAAGAAGGATTAACAGAATCATCAAGAAACAGTTGCAAAGTACGGAGATGAAGCTACTCGATCTGACCCATCTAAGCGAGTTCAGAGCAGATGCTCATCCAGCAGTCTGGTTAGGGAAACAGGACGCGGTGGCCATATGGGGACAAGACTGTATGCATTGGTGCCTTCCCGGTGTTCCGGACACATGGGTCGATATCTTAGCTCAACTCATTCTCAGTAACTCAAAAACAGAGTGAAGACACTGTCAGAGTCCAGAACTGAGAGACGTGCTTGGGCATAGAAAGTCAAATGTGTCTTCAAGGATTCAAGGGTTCATTTCTACTGTAAATGATTCATTTTTGTAGGATTTGTTTGTTCCTTTCCCCAGATACTTTCATTATTCTTAATGTGTAATTTTGTTCTTAATTGGGGCTTGTTTGTCAAATGGCTTAAGAAACTAAGGATTAGTCAATTTCTTAAAGGCTTAAAGGGATGAAATTTTGTAGCCTTTCGTGTGATATATTCGAAAAAGAGTTGTAAATACTCTGTACAGTGGATATCCAATAAAATGATGATTAAATTAAATTTATTTGTTGATAATACTAATATTAGGATTTGCGATAAAGGACAGAAGAGAGAGTGAGAGGAGGTGAGAGCAGAAAAATGTCGATGAGATTGCTTCATCTTCTTCCCCAAAGCACTTGCTTTAATCGAAATCTCGAATTTAGCCGTCTGTTGACCCGACCCGTAAACCGGATTCAGTGCATAAGGAGAGGCGAAGAAGACGATGGCATCATGAGCAACGGGGGGAGGAGGAAGGCGAAGAGGAAGAAGAAGAAAAGTATGAGCGATTCGGAGCTGGCGAAGGATTTGGCCAGAGAAATCGGGAAAGCGAACACGGTGTCGGAACAGAGGAGAGAAGCGATGAAGAAGAGCGGTGAGATTCTATGGGGAGAGTTCTGTCGGCATATGGATCTGAAAGAGGAGGAGATGAGGAATAAATGGAGGAAGATTGGAGAAGAAGAGAAACTGGTTCTGGTTAGAGAGTTTGTGGATGAGTGGGGCGTTGATTTTCAACCTTTATCTGTTAGATCTGTAAAGGAAATGGTGGAAGAAGAGTGTTTGGTTTCTTGTGACAAAACAGTGGAGTCTTTGTCTACTTCTTCGTTTTCTGGATTATTTCCTGGATTGAAGAGAATCATAGGGTTTGAGTAGAATTCATGTTTTTCATATTATTATTATTTCCCAGAAAAGATCAACAGGTTGTTGCATATCTGATCATTAGTTCATCAGATTCACTGAAAACTTATCTGCGGTTTTGCTATCTTTCTGACAAACAAACAAAAATATTGATATATTATACAGTATATACATTTACATCTTCTTACATGTTTAATAAGGAGTTAAAAATTGATGTTGCAGTGGGAATTTCTTTGAAGGTATAGTTGAGTTTGAGCTGTTGTTTCCGCCATTAACTCCTTTAGGCTTGGGCAGGAACTAAAACATGGGAGTTATAATAACTTTCAAAAGATGATAAATCCATGGTTACTCCTCTCTTCTCAGAAGCTGTCTTCACGAATTGACTTACAGCTCGAGCCCATTTCACCATAGCCCACGTCAGTTCTCTCTTTTGTTCAAACGTTATCGCATTCGAACCGCTCTTCTTCATCTCAACCAAAACTTGTCCCATCGACAACAAACCATCGACCAGCCTCCACGGATCCTATTATCGCCAAATTTTTTAAAAAATGATAACGAACATGCTCACACATCGTGTGCCTATAATGTTAAACTCTGATTTAAAGAAAAAACTTACTGATGTTCCAACTTTGGTACCACTCAATGCTGACGAAGCTACGAAGAGTTTCATAGCTTTATACGTAATATTGGTGCTCTCTATTGAATATGTTTCAGGTGATTCCGTCTTGAAGCCGGCCATGTACTCATTCAGCTTTACAAAGAAGTCCTTAAACTCTGCGTTTGCAAGGCACTTAGTCTCTAGGTCACTTGCGAAATCTAACATACCTTTGTAAGCGAAAGGCTCAAAATCTTTGCCTATTCTGGGAAAGTTTCCTAAATAAATAGGTAACGAGAAGGACGCTTGAGTTGTACTGCTAACTTCTTTAGAAAGAGATGTATATGTAGGGTCGACATAATCAATTTCAAACTGTGATAGATCGATTAATTTCCCATTAATCTCTGAGACCTTCTTCACATATAGACCAATCCTTGTAACCCATTCATTCATAGACCCATACAATCTCTCCCATCGTGGAGAAGTTATTTCACTCGGAGTGCTCTTCTTCATCTCAACAGAAACCTTCTCCATTGATACTAAGGCCTCGATCAGCCTCCATGAATCAAACTATCGCAAAATTAAAAAAAAAAATGTCAAATGTTGACAAACATGTTCGCATACCATATGATTGTTAATGTTCCAATTAAACTTACTGATGATCCGTCTTTGGTACCCTTCAATGCAGACATAGCCATGAAGAGCTGCTCAGATTTCTGACTGCCTAATGGTCCGGATGATGCCGGGTTAAAGCGATCTGATATGTAATCTTTCAGCTTTGTAAAGAAACTTTTGAACTCTACAGTTGTAGGAGACTTTCCCTCCAAGACACCTACGAAATCTAGCAAACCTTTGGAAGCGTAAGGCTCAAAGTCTTTGCTCATTTTGGGAAAGAGCTGCAAATAATCACGTAATAGAAACGTCCCTTGAGATTGTGTTTCGTAGACGTCACTTAATGCAACAAGTAACATTAGACATACCGCTAATGAGATTCTTGCCATTTTATTCTTTTTTTTAAAAAAAAAAAGGAAAACAAAAAAAGGGAAAAATACTATATTAATTTATTTGTTTTGAATGAATATGCTACTCGGTTTATATAGAGGTTTGGAAAGTCTAAATTAAACAATCAAAGTGGATGTGTAGAGAACGGTCAATAAATCTAAAGAAACAAAAGGTTATATATAGAGACAATTGCACCAATTCTATTGCTAGCCGCTTTTCTCTCGATCTATTTTTTGAAATAATCAATTTATTCATCAAACTATATTTAGTAATTAGGATCGTATCAAGCGAAATGTGAAAAAGACTCTTGCAAGTTGCCAAAGAGCATAAAGCTGATGTGAAGCAGCTGAAGATTTGAGCTGATATGAAAGAGATCGCCGATCTCTTTTGCTCTGTTCTTTACGAGATAAGTTGGGATAGTCCATCAGCGCATTATTGTAGTTCGTAGATAGATACTGTTGGTGATTTCATATATTGTTGGTGATTGTTAAGCCGTAAGGAGTGGGTTTTAATTTTTCAAATGATTCACTAATCAAAATGGATAAAATTAAATTTGTATATTCTAATTTATAAAAGTAGTTTCAAGTATTATATGTTTATTCTTTTCGTTTATAGTTTAAGTTTTTACAACAATCCAGTAACTCATTCATGTCTTTTCTTTATGTGTGCAAAACTAGTCTACGAGAACTTTTTAAAGTTTTTTTTTTTAAATATTATTTTAATATAATTAAATTTAAATTTTAAAAATAAATTTTAACCAATAACTATATGACATATGATATATAAGATTTTCAATGATTACTACCAAAGTTTTCAAATGAGAACTTCTCTTCACTTTTAGTAGGGGTTATTGGTTCTTCAATTTTGGTAGATTTAAAAATCTTCTTTGGATTTGATTAATTTATTGATTTCAAAATCAGCAAAATGGAAAAAAAATCAAATCCACTCAAATACCAAGGTTAGACCTTGTATTTGGGTCTTTGTATTTTAGTCATGAAAATCCTTCCAAATCCATTCAAATTCAATTAAAACTCAAATCCTTATAATATTTAGATTCTAAAATGATAGAACCAATAACACTGTATTTCATTATGGATTTTAAAATCATAGAACCAATAACACTGTATTTCAATATAAATTTTAAAATACAAGAACCAATAACACTGAATTTGGTTTGGATTCTCAAATCCATAAAAATACAAGAACCAATAACACCTCCTTAATTTCTCTTCTAATTTAATTATTTTATATATTTTAATGTTGAGAACCTCTCTAAAAACTTTTGGTTGATCTTCTAACATCTTATTTAATCTTCAACACAACTTCATATTTATATCAATTGTAAAATAAAATTCTAGGAATACAGTATTTTTATATTCGAGTAGATTCAGTTATTTGGTTCGGTGTATAAATTCCATACATTTTGATATAATTCCAGTATATAGTAATTTTGATTTTTTTTTTATAAGAAAATGGCTAACCGATCAGTTCGGTTCGATCGAACCGATAACCGAATCCATTTGCACCGATGAATTCCACCTAAGAAACCAAACCAAAACCGATAATCTCAGTTCAGGTCGGGCCGGTTCGGTTCAAAGTCGCAAGACTAGCCCCCATGGAATATCCAAAATTCGGATCTTTCAGAAAAACCGAGCTTCCCATGGATGTGGACGGAGAAGATGATCGCGGACAAAACCGTAGAACTATGGAGAGGGATTCAGATGCGTTCAAAGATAAGATCGCAGAGCCTTCATGGTTTTCTCCTAAAAAGTAATTTCTATTTTTTCTTCATTTTATATGTTTAAAAGGTCAATACACAGAAACTTTTGGCAAATTGGGGCCAGATGTAGAACCTTTGAGTTTATGGAGTAAATGAAGTAGGAAGCATTTTTGTTCTCGATTGCAATCTGCTAGTTGGTTCTATTTTGAGGAAGCTCTGTACATGAAACGATACCAAGTCGATGATTTCTTCGTTTGTTTGTTGAAATTTGTATAATCGAATTCTAGGGTCAAATTTGGTTTTCGATAATTTCAGCTTAGAAGGAAAATTTGCTATTTTGAAATGGGTTGTTGTTGCCGTATATATTATCGGTTTGTCTATGAAAAAGAAAACGCAATTTCTTAGTCCTTGAACTGTTGAGAACCCAGAAATTCGTGGGTGTTTTGATTTAATGATTGTGCTTCCTTTGTTTGTGGCTATGTCTCTGCAGGCTTCTCCTTGTGTTTTGTGTAGTCAACTTAATAAACTACATAGATCGAGGAGCTATAGCGAGTAATGGTATCAATGGGAGCCGTGGTACTTGCACCTCGAGTGGTACATGTTCAGCTGGCAGTGGAATACAGTAAGACTAGTGGTGACTTCATTACGACTATCAGTTGTATTTGACCTTAGAATGATGAATATCTATGTGAACTACACAGAGGGGATTTCAACTTGAGCAATTTTGAAGATGGAGTTCTCTCATCTGCTTTCATGGTTGGGCTTCTTGTGGCCTCTCCTATATTTGCTTCAGTAGCAAAGAGGTGTGTACTGGTTTTTCCCTGAGTACAAAGGCATCATTTTTTCTGTCTTTGAGTATTATACATTTCATTATCTTTAAGTTTTTCTTCTCTGTTCCGTGTTGCAGTGTTAATCCATTTAGACTTATCGGAATTGGGTTAACGATCTGGACTCTCGCTGTGATTGGCTGCGGTTTATCTTTTGATTTCTGGTCCATCACATTCTGTCGCATGTAGGTGTAGTTTCTATTTACTTTTCAGTTATGACTGTCATATTATATGTTCAAAGCCATGTACATATTCGGTCGGATACTTACCTTTGTCACCCTATTCAGGTTCGTTGGTGTTGGTGAGGCATCCTTTGTAAGCCTCGCTGCACCATTTATCGACGATAATGCCCCACATGATAAGGTAGTTGCTTCTGCAATGTATGTGTTCACTTGTCCCATTGTTTTAGTAAAAAAGGATGGTAACTAAGTTCTATAGTCTGGTTATTCACATGGCATTTTGTTTTTGTTTTAACCAGAAATCAGCGTGGCTTGCTATGTTCTACATGTGTATTCCGACAGGCTATGCTCTTGGCTATGTATATGGTGGACTTGTGCGTTATTTTTCTTTCCTTTTTTCTGTACTGTCTATGTCACGAGATTCTGATTATATGGTTTTGTATTACATCACCGCCAATGGCCTCAATTTCACTCTTTCTGTTTTCTTGTAGGTGGGAAATGTTCTTCCATGGCGTGCTGCATTTTGGGGAGAAGCAATACTTATGCTTCCTTTTGCAGTTCTAGGTTTTGTTATCAAACCCTTGCACTTGAAAGGTGCGTGCTTGAAGTTGTGTTGTAATACACACACACACACACTATGTTGGTGATGGACTTGAGCTGTTTCTAATGAATCTTGTTTGTACCTTCAGGTTTCGCGCCGGACGATACAGGAAAAACCCTGACTGATAACTTGAACGTTTTGCCGACCGGTTATGGGTTCTCATCTGTAATGAAAGATTTGAAATTACTTTTGGTAGACAAGGTTTATGTTACAAACATTCTTGGTAACCATTTTCTCGTCTTGTGTGTTAAAAACAGTTTTAAGCATTTGTGTCGTTGTATGATCATTGTTTTACCTGTAACTGTTTTCTTTCTTTTTTCAGGGTATATTGCTTACAACTTTGTTTTAGGCGCTTATTCGTATTGGGGGCCAAAGGCTGGTTATAACATATACAAGATGGTAAGAAATTGCCAGAACGTTTTCGTTTCCATGTGTAAAAAGTATCGCTTGATGTCTTTCTTTATCCGTTTGCAGGAAAACGCCGATATGATATTTGGAGGGGTCACAGTTATCTGTGGAATCGTTGGCACATTGTCAGGAGGAGTGATTTTAGATTTCATGGATGCAACAATATCAAATGCTTTCAAGGTAAAATCCTCACTTAGAAGAGAATCTTATCTCAAAATCTTATACCCTACAAGTTCTATGGATAGAAAGTTCCCAACTTGTGGTTCATCTTGTTAAACCAGTGATTGATGGCGTGTTTCTGTATTTTGCAGCTACTTTCAGTTTCAACATTTATAGGAGCGTTGTTTTGCTTTGTTGCTTTCTGTTTCAAGAGCATGTATGCATTTTTAGCTCTTTTCGCTGTTGGTGAACTTCTCATCTTTGCGACACAGGTAATCTCGGTTTCCATTATTCAAATACTTGATTCTGTTATGTTTTTATCACTGTTATAGTTTACAAATCTAGCTCTCTTTTGATTTATTTCATGATGTTTTAGGGTCCTGTGAATTTTATAGTTCTCCATTGTGTCAAACCAAGTTTGAGACCACTTGCAATGGCCATGTCTACTGTCTCTATCCATATCTTTGGAGATGTTCCTTCCTCACCACTCGTTGGAATTCTTCAGGTTTGGTTTCTCATTTGTATCCACAAACCTTGATTAAAGGCTCCAATGTCTTAAAAATCAAATGAAGTTTCAACTCAGTGCACTTTCTTCATCTGGGATAAGTTTAGAGCCGTCACTGTATTTCTCTCATTTGCTCATGCAGGACTACGTGAACAATTGGAGAGTGACTTCTCTCGTTCTTACATTTGTTCTCTTTCCAGCCTCTGCAATTTGGTTCATAGGTTCGGTTTTTGGCCACACCGGGAATTCAAAAATCAAAGTTTCTTTTTACTCTAATGTGGAATTAACGATTTTGCTGCGTTTGTGACTGTACAGGGATTTTCCTGAACAGTGTGGATCGATATAACGAAGACTCGGAGCCTGATGCAGTGACCAGAGACTCAAGCGCTGCACCTCTTCTTGAGGAAGCATGAGACAAAAACTTCAGATGTATTCTCTTTTTCTGCTTTCTTGTACAAAGATATACAGTATGTATGTTCGTTGAAACCACTACCTACGTTTGTATAGTACTTCTTGTTCCTCTGTTGCAGAACAAAAATTATTGCTAGTTTTCCAGATTCAGACATGAAATATGATTGTTCTTTCTCATTCTTTCGCCAGAAAAAAAACTCTCAATTGTTCATATTATATCAAAGCAACAAGAATCAAACTTTCAAGGGTAATACTCTGTTTTCAGATGACTGAGCTAAAATGTTTCAGAAAAGTGAAAGATCACCGGGAGAAACTGATCTCTTGACAAGTTTAGCCCACGATTCGTTCGTCTCATGGATGATCTTCAAAGCATAATCCTGTAACACACAACAACCATAATAAGCTCCCCTTACAATCCATACAAACCAAGTATGTACGGAAAGAGTGAAAGGATCTTTACTTTGTTTGCTGGTTTGTTTCCAAGACCAAACCTGTTAGCAGGTTTGCCATCTGGAATCTTGTAGTCTCTAAACCAGTCTCTAATGGCTGTAAGAGTACCCTGAGAGCAAACATCTCAAGTAAGAAAACTTGACTACATAAAGACATGAAACTTGCTCTTATTTGAGGTCATACCGGGAAATGTTTCTCGACATCATCAACATCATTCACGAGATGAGCTTTCGGATCATCTAGAGAAATCGCAACAATCTTCCAATCCAGCTCTCCTTCATCAATCATAGCCAAAGCAGCTAAAGGCTTCACCTTTAGAACCTCACCTAACTTCCTTTGACTTTCACCAATCTCAACAACATCAACTACAAACAAACATGAACCCAAAAGTAAAGCTTAGCTCTGGAATGAAACCCATCCACAAAACCAAATCTTTTTTTTTTTTGGTTACCTGGATCATTATCTCCGAAAGCACCTTCAACTTCAGAGTTTGCTTGAGTTGGATCTTCCCATGTTTGTGGAAGCAATCCATAGTTCCAGTTTATGTTGTAACTGTATATAACCAAAAAATCTTTTTAGCTAACTCAATGTAAAGAGATGACCAAGAAGAAGATGCAAAGGCAAAATGTTCTTACGGATAATATCTGAGTTTCCCTTTCTTAGTGTCTTGCTTAATAGGAGTGAAAGCTTCATCAGTAGCAACCTCCATTTTTGCACGTGACTCTTTAGGAATTTCCACTATAAAGTGAAAAACTCCATCTCCCAAATGCAATGGTACATCATGCCATGGAGACACCTAACCAAACCGCACACAGAATCACAAGAAAAAAAAGGGGAAATTTCACAAATGTCAGATTAAGAAATCTTCAAAAACACACAAATTCCGATCCCCTCAGTAACTAATTTGAACAAAACATTTATACAAACAAAAAAACAGAGATGAAGAGGACCTTCTTGCCGGATCCATCTTGGAAGAAAACTCTGTAATCTAGGGTTTCGGACTGGCCTTCTTGGATCGTCTGAACCTGAGGATTGTAAATGGCATTGCAAGAGAAGGGTCTCTTGGATTTCACCACTAAGGCTGCTCTCTTGTTGAAGCAGAGGCCGTTAAAGCCGCAGACTTTTCGCGTCGGAAGAAGAAATGGTCGCCTTGTGAACAAACACGACGTTGTTTGGCTGCCGGATGACGCAGCTGTTGTTATCACTCTAGCGGCTGCCATTTTCGTGGAGGATCGAGTTTTTTTTTTCTTTTTTTTTTGTGGTTTGGTGGGGTTTGTTTGTGTCTGTGTGATTGAATCTAATCGTACTTTTGTTGTCCTCAGGAAAGTAGTGCGTGGCCTTTCGTTTCAGTGACTGGCTCCTTTTTTTTATGTCCGTTTTATGTCTAAACAAGGAATTGAATATACACGTACACTACACATGTAAGTTGGTACATAAATGTTATTGGTCGGTACGACCAACTTTGTTTCGTAATACTACAATATTTTTTCTATAAAAAAAAAATCTTCCATATAAATAACAAGGACAAATATTTTTCATATTATGTGGAGATAGTGAATATTAAGGAATGCGTTGATCTTGATTCTTGCAACGAAAATCAGGCTTGGATTATGCAGATAGTAAAAAAGAACAGAAGAATATATTAATATATCTAAGAAGATGAAGCTTGGAAACAGAAGTATGAGTGTGAGCAGCACAAGGAATTGATATTAACATTGAGAGAAAATGTAACTTCGATGACTCGATTCTTCTACCAAATGGTAGTGGAACAAAATTCGAGTTAGATGGATATTAAGAGACCAGAGAGATGTTTGGTTATATGTACATTAATAACATATGAAAAATCAATTTATGAGTTTGGTGCCAAGGATATGGATTTGTTGATATGATGAAACGTAATTATCCAAATCACAATTGTAGGTACAGAAGCCAAATGAATGTTCACACAAATTGTCAAAAGAGAAGAATTCTATTGCAACACTATACTCTCTTAGTTTTTATTGTCTACGAAATTATAAAAAAAAAATTGATTTATTTTTCAATGGCTTATGTAATGTAAAATCTGATTATGTTGTTTAGAAAGAAGAACACATCACATGTACAGATGTACTCTATAAAAAAAAAGACATCGGTCATCACATGTTAGGTTTTGGTATGGGGACTAAGTCTAGTTTTTTAGTATAATTATATAAGTTTAGAGTGACTAATCAAAAGGTTTCGTGGTGTAGTTGGTTATCACGTCAGTCTAACACACTGAAGGTCTCCGGTTCGAACCCGGGCGAAGCCATTGCATATATTTTTTTTCAATATAATCGACGAGTTGACAACGACGTCGTTATATATAACCGTTTATTACTAGTCCCCCACGTCACACATCTTTTGATCTCGCGCCACATCACTCTTTCATTCTTATTGGCTAGTACCCTCCACGTCATCATCCCTTCCCTTAAGAACACGCCATTTTAAAAGACTCGGGAACCATCTACATCCTTCTTATTCTCAGTAAACCAAAAAAAGAACTCGTCCTTATTCGGGTCCCCTTCTAATTTCGCGCAATCACAAACCTTCGAGCCTCGAATTTTCGTTTTGTTCTTCTGTGATTATTTATCTCGCAGCTTCGCAATTGACTAGTTGCAAGAGCTTTGGTCTCGGAATTATATCTCGAGGGTTTTTTGATTTCTCTTTTCCGATACAATACATGATGGGTCGCAGGTTATTGGTTTGTGCCGGAGCTCTGTTTCTGATTTTGTTCACAATTCTTCCATCATCTACAGCTTTGATTTCGTCTCCTGAGGCTAATCATCCGTACCCTAAAGCCATCTCGGTAAGGACTTAATTTGTAATTAATATTTTCGTTTTCTGGATTCGAAATTGTCTTTCTTTGCTCGCTCTGAGATTATTATAGACACTGAAGAATCAAAGTCATAACCTTTTTTTCTTTTTCTGGTTTGATAGGATTTGAAGGAAGCAATTGTGAAGGGACTTGGATTCCAATCAGAAGAAGTCAAAATTTCTGGGTTTGATGTGAGGGATGCATTGGTAGGTCATGCCGTCTCATATGAATTTGATCTAGAAATCGACAACAAAGTTCTTCCAATCAAGCTTCTTGAAGATGTGAACCGATGGGAATACGTTGATCTCCCAATTTTCCAAGTAGAACAGCCCAATGAAGCCATCGTAGACGAAAATGGTTTGGTTCCTATGAGCAAGAAGAAGAAGTCTAGTGATGTGTCACCTGTTTTAGCTCCGTTTCAACTTGCCGGTCCCATGGAAATTTGGATCCAAGATGCAAACAATATGCGCCTTTCATTACCTGTAAGCTAAAAGGACTTATACTTACTTACCTCATTGGTTATGTTTCAAACAGTGGAAAATTGGTTTTTGTTTATTGATTTGATGTGTTGAAAATCTGCAGTATGACGTGGAAGCTGGTGTTTTGAAGAAGGTGATACTAGCAGATGGTGCTGCTGTGACTGTCACAGGAGCTAGATCAGTTAGTTTGCGCCATCCGATTGATTTTCCACTTCCATTGAACCAGAGCTCTAATGGATTTGTTGCCTCTGGACTTCTCTCTTTAGCTGAACAGCTTCGACGTGGTTCAAGTAATCAAGAAACTCCACTTCTTTCCCTCCGAATCGTTGGTCCTACTTCTCTTGCAACAACTTCACAATCTCCTGACAGCAAACTCAAGCTTAAGCGTCTTGCGCCTGGACTTGTGGAACTGTCCTCGATGTTTAAAGACAAAAGCAGTAGTGTCTCAACAATCGGCGGCGCTGCTACTGCTACTACTCTTCTTACGCCAAGAGAATTCACAACCATGTGGCCAATCACTTCGATCAATGGCTCCAACGCTAACTTACTCGGCTTTGAGAAGCTGTTGACCTCTGTTTTGGGTCCCAAAGCTCTGGAAAAGGGTTCCTTCAAGGTGTTAAAAGCGGATGTCGCTGCTCAAACGTTTATGAAGATTGGTTTTGGTGTGGAAAGGAAGCTGAAAGAAAGTGATGTTGAAGGTTTGAACTTTCCAGAATGGCGAACAAAGCCAGAGACGATGATAATGCATTTTGAGGTTCTCGCTAAGGTTGATGGAGAGAGAGTTGTACCAGAGAACGTAATGCGAGTTGATCCTATACCATCGGAGGATACGATTGCTCAGAATGTGATTTCTGGAAATGTAACCATGTCGAAACTCCCAATCACTCAGCCTCCTCCAAGCCCCTTCACCTTGTAATTGTAAAGACATGACGGAGTTCATGATTCATGGACAAGAAACTATTGACTTGACATGCTCTTTGTTTTTCTTTACTAACTGTATCTGCAGCAACTTGTAATTACTCTTTTTTTAGTGGAAATCATAAAGGCTTCGTTAAATCGGTGAATAAGTTTGTCAGAAGTCTCAAATCTCATGCATTAAGATGAGATTACAGAAGCTGATTTTCAAAAATGAGAAACTGGACTAGATTGTGTAGCAATATAATGCGAAGAGGAAAAGAAAAGGAAGAATGTAGATAATGACATAAATATAGGGACTAAACTCAAATAAAATGACATTAATATATGGGCTCCAATATGATCTATTGGTATTCACCTTAAAGGCCCATATAAAGCCTATGAATCATATAGGCTCTAATATGATCCATTGGTATTCATCTTAAAGCCTCATATAAGAGCTAATGTACTTCCTCTTATAGGCCCAAATTTAGAGTTCTTAGATGATGGTATTTCTACTTAAGTTTGTTTTTCTTCTTAGTTTTTATACTGTTTGCTTTGTTATGACTTCTAACTTTTCATACAATTTATTCGTTAGTGTATGAATTTCTAGTTTTTTTCTAATTTGTTGAGTAGTGAATCATTATAAAAATATATTATTAATATAAAACAACTAAGGGAACGATAATAATTAGACTTGCGAAATCAAAATTATGAACAGATTTTGATGGAATAAAATGTATGGAAAGTTAGAGAAGACATAACAATGATTTCGCATGATCTTCTTATGGAAAATTCCAAAATAATAATTATTAAGAAAAGTCATAATTTAGATAGAGAAATGGAAAGGAGGAGACTCGAAAATATTTGATCAAATTTGATGGCTAACTAGATATACAACGCCCTCCACCTAACAAATATTAGTAATATGGAAAACATCATGGTACAAGACGTGATTGATCTCGACTACATGCACTATACAGAGCTAATCGCATGTGGGCTTCAATGCCACTACATTGAGCTTTCATTTACGAAACTTGGAAGCAACATTGTGAAGACTTTCATATATATGCACATGCCTATGTAGAAAATCTTTTCCATAGCCGTTAAAAAACCTTCATTTTTTCAAACACAACTAAATATATAGACACCATATAATTTCAACGGGACCAAGTCTGATTTTCAGTATAAATATCTAATTGTATTCAAGTATATTTGGTTATCACGTCAGTTTAGCGATCCCTATTCGATGTCAAGCGAAGCCAAAATTTCTTTTTTTTTTAGTCAACGAGCTGAAAAACGACGTCGTTAAATATAATAAAAATTCTATAAATCAATAATTTTATTCGGTTCCAAGTTTACTGGTTCAAAATTTAATATAAATCGATAAATTAATAAGATAATACTTTTTTGAAAACCTATATAAAATATAGTCCCATTAGAATCATAAATTAATAAATATTATATAAAATAATTTTATATAAATATAGAATTATGATAATCTATTAAAATATGAGTACGTTGTTGTATTTTATATTAAAATTGAAATTGTTTTATTATTTATCTCTAATTTTATAATAAAAATTTTGAAAAATATTATAAATTTTAAAGAAAATAATATTTTTAGTTAATTATTAACAAAAAATATTTTATCTGAAATCTATAAATTAATAACTCTATAAATTAATAAAATATTAAAATTCCAAATTTCTAACATTATTAATTTTCGGAGTTTCATCTGTATAACCGTTTATTAGTCAACGAGCCTCTTGGGGCATATAAGCTCAACTATAGGCCCATATTTAATCCACCATAACCTCCGACCAGCCGCCGAGACTTCCACGCCGGCCGAAAGTGTTATTGGTGATGGGGAACGACAGAACTCGTGGTTGGATTCGCGGTGATGAGACTGCGAAGCAGATGTTATCAAGGGTTCTTAGAGACCGCGCGTTCTTGCTTCTTCCGCCTCTTCACCGCGTGCCTTTACGCGCCGGGAACGTAGTCGAGATCACTGGTGCGTCACCGTCTGCGAAAACTCAGATCCTGATTCAGGCTGCGATCAGTTGCATTCTTCCGAAGACGTGGAACGGCATCCACTACGGAGGATTGGGGAAACTGGTTTTGTTTCTCGATTTAGATTGCCGATTTGATGTGCGGCGTTTATCTCAAATGCTCAAGCATCGCCTTCTCGAAGCTAACCGTAAGCAAATTCTGAAACTTTTCTTCGTCTTTACTTTCGAGTTCTCGGGTTTAAGTAGATATCTTTTGTCTTGTATGCTCGGGATTGTATAATCAATGTAGACCCATATGCATATCATGACGAGTTCTTTGGTAGGTGTCCATTACATTGTGAGCATTAGCCTATGATAAATAAAACAGTCGCTTCAAAATACTATAATCGTGGTCTTCTGGGGGAAATTCTGGCATTGATAAGATCAAATTCATGAAACTGAGACAATCTCAGTCTCAGGTCATATATAAAATCGAGATGGTTGAATCTGGTTCTTTCAGCGTATCAGGGTTAGGCAATGGAGCATGGTGGCAACTTGAAGAGTCAAATGTTAAAACTTGCACATCTGTGCAAGACAAGTCAAGCATCGTCTATGATGAGGAGCTATATGTTTCATGCATGAAAAGATTTCTGTGTCTTCGCTGTTATGATAGCCTCGAGCTTTTGTCCAGTCTCAAGGTATTGTTTGTTTGTGTTGACTCACTGTTGAAGTATCACACTGTGTTGGATTCTTCTAGGCCCCTGCTTAAAAGTTTCTATCATCATCTCGTTGCGTTGCAGACATTGCATTATCGGATCCGACAGCAGGAAGCGTGTGGAAGCCAGGTCGGAGTGCTAATGATTGACAGGTTTGTCTTAGATTCTGCTGGTTTCTCATTCCGTTGGATCTACAAAAATGCTATTGTCTTCTACGATTCCTTCCAGGACCAATACATCACATTTTAGTTTTTTTTCTAAATGCTAAAAACAAAGTTCATTTATAGGTTAGGAATACGTAAATATAGGTCTTATGCATCATTGTCTTATTCTTGCTACTATCTAAGAGCAGACAGGCCGGCTTTGAGCTAACTATTTTGCAATGTTTTCACCAGCATCGGTGCTTTCCACTGGACTGATCGTCTATCGTCATCGTTGGCATTGGAGAAAAGTAACAGGTAAGATTGCAAACTCTATAGGAGACACTGGTTATTTAAGATTAACTCGAGTTTGGGGAATTTTGATGTGATGCTTTTTGTTTGCGACTCTTATATCTATGATATATAGGAAAAGTCTGTCCCTTACAAATGTGGTGGAGACGGTAGTGCAAGAGATGAAGAAGCTACTGCAGGTGCATTCACTGGTGGTAATTGCCACTAAGGCTACAATTTACGAAGAAAGGTACCCAACAAATGAGAATAATCGGTTAGTTAGATTAATTTGTATACGGCTTCTTCTGTGTTGTGACTTGTGACAGTCGCTTCATCTCTAACTTCCCGCAAATTTCAGGAACTTCTCCTCAAAGGATGATCTGTCAGGGAATGCTTCAAGTAAAGCTCAGCAACCTCCACTTCGTGAATTCATGCCTTCTTCTTGGCAGGTCAACTTTGGATGTGAACCCATTAAAAGCCTCTTCTTAGATTAGATCTGCCATATTCATTTAGTGCTTTGACGATATCACCAACCCTCCTTATGTGGTGGTCATTGCAGGCATTTGTAACACATAAGATAATCATACGGAAATCAGGTTTGTATAATATATCTTTCTGTTTAGCTCTTTCGGTTTCTCTCTTGTGTCTTTGTTCAATCACGTTTGTGATCACTCTGCAGGTGATCATCAGTCTGTGCAAACGGGACAACAAAGTTTGTCAGCATATTCACTTGAATGGTTACAACCGCAACTTAGTAGCATAGACCGATTTATTGTAGACGATGTAAGGAAACTTATCACAACCATTTCAAGTAGTCAAAGCAAAACCATTTTACTGTAAACCAACACTCATAGATTTTGTTTCCTGCTTCATCATCTCTCAATGCAGTCTGGTATTGTCATTGTCTCATGACTTAGATTCCCTTTCAGGTATTCTTTAATCACTCACACTCCATCTCTCTTCTCTCTCTATTAGAGGCCACACATTTACTGACACTTCTGCTTGTAATTCTGTACTCTGCAGAAACAATTACTTTTGTAAGGTAGCTATTAGCTAAGCAGCGTGCAGCAAAATCGCCAGATGTTAAAGTTAGTGCAGAGTTTTTTATTTTATTTATTAACATCAGAAAGAGGGGGAAAAATGGACAGAAAAAGTAAAAACCTTTTAAAGGTAAAACGTGTCTTTCTTTTTTTATCTATTTTTACTTGATTAGGTTGTTCTTGCAGTATTTTGGTAACCTTATCTTAGATATAAAAAGAAAGGAAATCACATTTCATACGTACGTTTTGGATTCGAATTGGATTGTAATATCTTTCTCAAAATGTCAAAATCTATTCTCATGCTTTTGGGCATCAAAGACTTGAGAAATTGCAACAGCACGTGTTATTTTATAAACCTCATCCTTAGAAAATGATTACTTTTTTAACTGTTTCACTTCCCAGAAACTTGAAAGTGATTCTTAATGGGACATCACTACTCTCAGGCCTTAGCACTAGGAGTCGTGTTATTAAAAAAATCGACATCCAAAATTCAAAATTCATATTATACACTATACAGCATTTTTGCTTGTGACAACTGTCTTATACTATACAGTCATCAGTTATTGGTGGTTACTATTCTTTTTTCAGATATTACATCTCGTTTTCACCACATTTATCTTTTCATCTTTTTTTTTTGGAGTAAAACCATATCTTGGAATTTAGCAGATAACAGTCCTGTCTCATGTTATATTATCTCCCTCTTATGCGAAGATTAGTATGATAAACTTGGAACTTGGATTCAGGAATCATTATTGTTTAATGTAATAATTAGGTCTTACCAGGAGTGGGAGTAGTCAAATCTTGTGGATACTTGATGAGATAAAAACAAGTAGTAGTAAATTTAAACTTGTTTAATTAGGAAAATAATAACAATAATCAGAATCATCTTCATAGGACTTCCACTCAAAAGCTTTTGTGTTGATGGATATGAATGATGTGTGATGTGAAACTAATATTTATCCTTCTTTTCTAGATTGCGTGGATTGATTTTCCACAGTATTCACATTTACCTTCTTTTTCGTACTTTTTCAAATAATTAGTGATTATTTGGCAGGTAGAAATGTATATAGTAAATAACTGGATGTATTTTTTACATTTAACGAAATCAAGATACAATCGCGATGTCTCAAAAACCTTTCATAAATCGGAGATGACGTCAAAGAAGAAATCTTAAAACATTTAGCAAATCCAAAAACTTTATTGTTGCAGTTTCTTTCCTCTGGTTGTGTATCTTTTAAGTGTGTATTATTTGAACAGTGACTTTCCAATATCTAAAGAAGAAAAATGTTTTGAGGAAAACGGCGTTTGCTACTACTTCACTTTATTCTTTCAAAGAGACGTGGCCTCTTAAGAAAACTCAAAATGACTGTTTCTTGTAACTCTCAACGCACCTGCCTCGCAAATCGCAATTCGATTGTTTGAAACATAATTCAAACCAAAAAAAAATCGATGTCATAATATATAAAAAATGTTTAGTAAGATTAAAAGATAAGAACGAAAGCATATTGCAAAAAGAAATTAAAAAGTTGGAACAAGAAGTGGGCATGTGTGGGTATGAAAGGCTTTGACGAGTTTGACTTTGACTTTTGCCTAACTCCCATTTGTCTGATGGTTACCTTCACTGCAGACAAACATATTAGCCGAAACTATATCCAATCTCCTCTTCTCTCATCCATTGATTAAAGTTTAATTAAATAAGGATTTCTTTATTACTAATATCGCAAAGTTCGATTTGATTCTTTGCTTCTGTTTTTTTTTTTTTATTACTAATTTCACACTTCTCCATTATTAAACATCACGTAGTCCCTGTTAATCCAAGACATTAGTACACCTTTTCTTTGTCATATCTATTTATATCTTTGTATCTTTTTTTTTTGGGTTGTTTGTTTGTGGTGAGCATTAATCTTTGCTATAGTTGTTTTACAAAACTAATTATTGTCGTCTGTTACTTCACTAATATTTCCAGTTCAACTGCTTTTATTAAAATTTTAAATTTTGTTAAATTTAAAAATAGAAATAATTTGACTGATATATGTCAGGCAAAAAGTAGAATAATAGAATAGTTAAAAACAAATTGTTAGCAAAACGAATTGAATTAAACTAAAATTTTGCTGAATAATTGTGAAATATTGAAAATATTAAATTAATCAACTTTTTCTATTTGTTTTGTTAACATGTTAGTGAGATTAATGGTTGTTGCAATAACAAAAAAGTCGTCTAATATGATAAACTTTGTTTTCGACATCTTTGTTATATTAAGCAATCCAATTAGAAATTAATTGGTTCTGTTTTTTTTGTTCTCAATATGATAAACTTTTTCTTTTTTTGGCTAACAAAAGTAGAATGAAAATCATTTTTTTCTTCTTGGAACCGAGTCGAAATCATTTAATTAATCCATGATAATCCAATAAATTTAATTAAGTTCACTCCTTTGTATGTTGGTGTACCTTTTGGGTCACTAAACGCCTCGCACCTTAAAATTTTTTCAGCTTTTGATATTGTTTGAATAGATTTATTATTTATATAAATGCAAATATGCAATCGCTAAAAAGAGACTATAACATAATTGATCTTCGTCTAATGAAAATGAAAATACATTTGATTGATAGTTTAATGAGGACAAACTAAAGAAGACAAAGATCTTCTGATCACGCGTGTGGCGTGGGCATGTGCGTGCGTAAGCGTAAGCAATAGATCATCCAATGTGATTTACGTATTTGGACCATTTTACCCTTTTATAAGAATAATAATATTAAGCTCACATCCTTTTTTTGTTATATAGAAAATTATTTAATTCTAAAACTTTGGAGAAATCTGAAGCAAAGTTGAGGAGCACCCACACACTCCTATTCATTGGGGCTGCCTACTGCTATGCTCTTTTGTTTATTTATTCATCTGATGAATTGCTTAGTAAGTTTTAAAATATACATTAAGAACAGTGAAAACAATAATAATTATATTAATGACTGAAACAAGTTGTCGACCAAAAAAAAAAAACTGAAACAAGTCAATAATTTTAAGCAAATAATAATAGAGGTCAATTATTTTAACAGAGAAGTGGGTCCAAAGTAGAGAAATCAGTTGAACTCTCAATCTTTTGGGCAGTCTTTGAGTTTGTGTGGATCTCAATTTTATAACAAAAGCCATTGATTGCTACTTGAGGGAGACTGCTGCATACGATAAAGATTGATCAATTTTAAAGCTTTCTTCATTTATACTTAAATCATTAATGAACATATTTATGTTTTTATAATTTCAGTACACGCACATATACAGAGGGTTTAACTTGGATGAATCTGAGGTTGCCTTGCCTCCAAGACACCCATTAATTTTTAAGAAAACAAAATGTAAATACATTATATTATCTGAGTACATTTTCGTTTGATGTACAATTATATATTTCAAAAAATCAGATCGTCATGTGTATCTATAAATAGGGTTTCCAACTTATAAATATGAAAATCAATTATTTATCATAGATAAATGGCGAATCTATAGTTGTTAGTAAGTTGTCTACGTAAATTTTCTCTTCCAACCAAATTAATAAATATAAGAACAACTAAAATTAAAGCAAAAAATGAGAGCAAAAAGAAGTGGTCACTAACCAAAAATAGAAACAAATCATATCTAAATAGATGAAAAAAAAATACTACATACAGTATACTAAAAATATTATTTTCATAATATTTATAATTTATTATAAATTCCATTAAGTGACATCATATTGTAGCTTGTTTTACAATTTCTAACTTAATATAGTAAGCAAAAGATGTAGTATTTTTTCCCTAAAACATGTACAGTCAAAATAACAATTTACTGATAAAACTAATTTGGAAAAAATGAATTTATAGCTAGATAGTTTAAATATTAAAAATTTCTATCTCAGGGTATTATTGATTTTAAATATTTAATCTCGTTGCTTAATATTTCTACGGTTGTTTTTTTTTTTTTGTCAATAATTGACCCACATTGCCCAATCTGAATTTGTGTGGTAATCAGTAATACAGCAATGCTATAAACACTGCTCTACGATTTATATGGTAGTTTAGAGTTTGTATATTAAAAGTTAAGTTTTTATTTTATCTTTTTGTCCACAGTTATTGTATTTGTATCTAAATTTACTTGAATCTGTTAGATATATAATCATGTAAAATATCTTAAAATTCATATATAAAGAATAAAAAAAATAGGAGAGAGGGTAATAATGGGAGGGTATTGGGTACAAAGGTACAAATCTCAAATTGAAGGCAAAGAGGAGAGAAAAGTGGGGCCCATAATCCTATGGTTGACGACCAAACCCATTTCCATGTGCGCCACGTGGATTATTGCGGGTGCATGATCTCAGCATGAAGTGTCATCATCACTCCTCGACCTCGAAATCCTCCTCCCAATATTTTTTTTTCTTTCTTAACTTAAATAAAAATTCATGAATGGAACTGCTTTGTTTTGGTTTATAGCTAATTTTGTATTTAGCGTAAACTGTGGACTACATTAGAAAAACAACAGTATTTAATTGAGAATTAACTGAAGCCACCTCAATAATTAGCAGCTATCCACGGAATAAATTACATGTACTCTGACTTTGACATACACCACTTAATGGGGTTTGATGCCAAACCAAAAATAATAATCACTACTTTAGGTGATCAAAGCCGGAAAATAAAATAAAATTTGTCTGCGCCCCAGGAGAACATTATAATTCCACCACAATTTGGAGGGGAAGTATGTAGTAAGTAGGCTTACTATTATCTGTTGTTAAGTGCTATTATTAGTTTAGCTTAATTCTTAAAAAATCTACAAACGAAAAAAATTAAATTCAGAATTAATATAGAAATAGAAATAAGAAGTGGATAAGAATCTTCTTCTTAGTGGTGAAGAAGAAGAAGAAAGAAGATACCCTTTTGCGTGGAAGTATCCAATCCTAAACACCTCTCGTTTCCGCCCACCTCTTTCTCTCTTGCTCTTTTGTATACTATATATATTAACCAATAATTTTTCACATGTGTGTTATCTTTTCAATCCTTTTTTCATATTAAAGTATTCAAAATATCTGATACGTTTCAAGGCTATGTGCTGCGATGTGGGATTGTACATTTTTGTTCATAAATTTTTATTACTAGTAAATAAAATTCAAAACGATAACTAAAACTACACATTGTATATTTGTTGCTTTAACTATTTAAATAATTGTGTATGATATTGAACGGGGTTTATAACTTGTTATACTATTTAAATCTGGGTTTTTAACATCAAACAAGAAACTAAAAATTTCAAGAAACGCTTAGCCTTGTCCTGTAGTCACCCCAATACTCTTACAAACTATGGAACACAAAGTTTTGTTTTGAAGAATAATTTTATAAAAAGCAAAAGTAGAAAGAACAAAAAAAAAAAAAAACAGCAGCCAAAATTGTAGAATCCACTTAAGCCGACGACTTCTCGAGGGAAAATAAGCTTTCCTTTGACATCGATTAGTCATCTCCCCTTAAGTTCCATTGCACTTACTTGTTTCCATCTTTACTACATCATTCTCTTTTGTTTTCTTTACGGCTTTACCATTTCTTTTGTTAATATAATAAATAAATTAAAATAATGATAAATTAAAGGTGGTAAATGTGTGTAAGTGAATTAAAGAAGCCACATATAAAAGTATATAAATGACTTCCAAACTCCACCTTCTCCTCTATATATACTTCAATCTCTTTCACACACTTCCTCTGGTTCCACATCATCCTCTCTTTTATATCCTTATTTTCTCCTTCTATAATCGTCTTCTACACACACGCAACCATATATATATATATTTATATTTATATATGTGTATGTACATGTACTGAAGCAGATAGTGAGATATCAAATATCGTTCAATGAATCTACCACCGGGATTCAGGTTTTTTCCGACGGACGAAGAGCTCGTCGTTCACTTCCTCCACCGCAAAGCTTCACTCTTGCCGTGTCACCCTGACGTCATCCCCGACCTCGATCTTTACCCTTACGATCCTTGGGACCTCCCCGGTACATCTGTAGATCTCTCTCTATATATATATATATATGCGTCATGCAACATGTTCATAATGATCCCCATATAGTTTCACAAACCATGCATGTCTGTATATTTATACATGCATAGTTGTACGTAGGTGTGTATATCATGTATGTGCATACATATGTATAGTTGACTATACTATACATATCAAATTAAAGGACAGAGATTGATTGTTGTCACCAACTTAAGTAACCAATCCGTCTTTTATTTTTTTTAGAATAGTACTTTTGTTGGGTTGCTCTTTTCAGGATTGTTATTGTTTCCAAAATCCCACCATACACACAAATATTAATAGTACAAAGCTATACCTGATAACTTTCCTTTTTATTCTCTTGGAAGGAATCTATTAATTGGTAAACCATAATTAGCATTGCTTTCTTCATAGTCATACATGTGCACCCATATCAATCATTCGATCTCATAATCCACCAACACAATCAATCATATACAAATATTACACACACATACACACCAAAACAATGAAACATGTACGTCGTAACGTAGACATACATGAAAACGAATACATATATGATATTCTGTTGATATTTTATCATACACTAAACTAGTTAGATCACTGGTATATCCCAATATTTGTGGGTCAAAATTCAGACTAATCTCAGTTCGTATTGAACAACAGTAGTTAATTAAGCTTGTCTTTACTGAAATAGCTAAACCCATTTAAAGTTTCTCACTATAACATGATATTATAAGACTTTCGATTAAAAATTATTCTCATGTCTTTGGTCCATAGTTTTTGTATCTTTGGACCATGAATTAACGCCAATCCATCTACGTATAATTATAGGGAAAGCTTTGGGAGAAGGGAGGCAATGGTACTTCTACAGTAGAAAGACACAAGATAGAGTGACGAGCAATGGTTATTGGGCATCAATGGGAATGGACGAAACAATCTTCACAAGTTCCACACACAAGAAGTTGGGTATCAAAAAGTATCTAACTTTCTATCTCGGAGATTCTCAGACTAACTGGGTCATGCAAGAATATTCTCTCCCAGATTCCTCTTCTTCATCTAGTCGATCTTCTAAGAGATCAAGCCGTGGTTCTACTAGTTCTAAACCCGTAAGTACCATTTCTGTTTCACAAGCCTTAAAGTTATTATTAAATAATTCTGACTTAAACTTTACATTTTTGAACCTAAAATTAGAAGTTGACCTCCACGTGGCATGGATTGTGTTTGTTGAACCTTTATGTGGGCATGGATCTTTGTGTGCAGGATTATAGCAAGTGGGTGATATGCAGAGTGTATGAACAAAATTGCAGTGAGGAAGAGGATGATGATGGGACAGAACTCTCATGTTTGGATGAAGTGTTTTTGTCTTTAGATGATCTTGACGAAGTAAGCTTACCGTAATAAAGACAAGCACCCAACAAAAAAAAAAGGTTTAGTGGGCAATTATTTCTAAAATCTTTGTACCAAAAAGAAAGAAAGGAAAAGGAGAATGACATCATTCTTACAAGTTATATGTTGTAAGATTAGGAATCCCCAATTTGCAAGCAAGAAGCAAAAAGAGGAAGAAACTCTAGTCTTGATGTATTTTATTTTTCAAATTCAAATATATATTTTTGCTTACTGAATTAATATATTATGTTCATTATATTGTAATGGCAGAAACTAAGAAACTAGTATTTGTGTAAAAAAATTATTGCAAATTTTATCATGAATTCTTTGTAATATATGATGAAAAATACATTCATCAGTCTATATTCAACAACACAACTTAAAATCTCAACAAAGCGATGAAGCCAAATTGTGTGTGAATATGCACTAGTTTCAAAAAATAATTTGCTCGTATAACAATTTCAATACTAGTTTGAGAAAAATATAAATTGAAATTTTTTTTTCTTCCAACAAATGCATTATATGCGAAATGAACCTGCATGATGATGATGCAATACTATATTACTCTCACAAACTATTATGCTATGTATGTGTCCTGATCATTTTCGCTCATATAACCAATACCATAATATTGCATATATCTTTATTCTCGATGCAAACATAACTATAAATAAATTGGTTGGTGTAAATTTCTCAATAATTTGTTTTTAATTTAAACGCATCTATTGTCTCTAATTTGCATACTATATATACCGAAGGTTAGGAGGGAAACCACATCTACTAGTTTGGGATAAAATTGCAGCCTACTTCTCATCCTTTTGAACAATATTAATTAAAATATATCCTAATTGGTAGAAACGGATTAGAGTTTTGACTAACAAGATCCAAAAAAAAATTAGAATTTATATACAACAAATGGGCATTAATGATTATGTTACCACTGGATGCATGCAAACGAGACTAAAAAAACAAGCCCCCCATGTTGGCGAATAATCATGGGGAAAGGCTAATAGTGTGTTTAAAAAGTTATATGATTGTAATTTCTAACTCAACTAACAAACCAAGAAATGCGAATTATATTTCTTTTTTCTTTCTTTGTGAAACCAGAGATGAGAAATACATTAAGGAACCTTTTGAGAAATTTATTAAAAATATAATTTTTCGCTACTTTTAATGAGCCAGTTCTAAGTTTTTTAAGACAGCAAAGGCTGTCACATGAAAATACAAAATACTTTTGATATTAAAAGCAACTAATGTAAAATTACATGGCGTTTAGTAGGTCACGCAATATTTTCAAGTGCGGTATCTAGATTTGGTATACGTGTGGCCTGAACCTGATCTGGTTTAGTGTAGGATTAGTGTTTTGTTAATAATTTATTCATAAGAGTTTGGCAATCGAGAGCCTTTTTCTCCAAGTTATAGTCTCTCTATAGATCTTTGATTGGGTTTTAGTAGTTGTCTTGTGTTGCCGAGCCAAGCAACATTGTCTTTCTACGTCTATTATATATTTTCATTTTTTTCTAATTTATTTTAATGGGTGCTTGCTTAGCAAGCACTGACTCATGTATGATGCAAGCACCTTGCACTCATAAAATAGCGTAAAAGCAATAAAAATAGAAATAAAATAATTTAAGTCGGGAAAGAGGGTGGTGAGATATATAAATCTTATAGTATTAACTTTGGCCGTGGTGAGTTTCATGGTTTTGCTGTATTTAAAAAACAACAATTTGATAAGTACAAATAACAGTTTCTTATTTCATTGTTGGCAATGCGAATTTTAAATCTTGAATTACATTTTTGAGAATCGTTTCTTTTCCAAATGTATCAGTCCCGGTGGTTTCCGTCGCATTTAGCTCATTCTCGTTTTCTCCGCTAAAGCCGATTTACTTTTGCTCTGATGTAAACCGCAATTTGTAACCGGTTCCCTGTTTGAGTTGGCTTAATTTTTTTGTAAAAAACATACGTTAATTTTTCTTTACTGTCGTAAAATGTTATTCTTTTGTATCTAACGATATAGAACGACTATTAGACATTCCATTAATTTTATCAAATTTAAAACTACATAAAGTTATAGTAATAAAATTAGTAAAAGAAAATCTTGATTAAAAAAAAAATCTGCGGCCCGTAAGTAAAAATACAAAAAAAATAAACCTTTTAAATATTATAAGCAAATCATGTTGACTTGGTAGGCATTAGTAGGTCACGAATTTTTTTAAATGTGGTCTCTAAGATTTGGTATACGTGTGACCTAAACCTAGTCCGGTTCAAGGTAACCTTTTTTTCTGCAAGTTATAGTCTCTCTAATCTCTATAGATCTTTGATTGGGTTTAGTAATTGTCTTATGTCGCCGAGCCAAGCAAGATTTTCATAACTAAAAAGCCGAATAAAACCTATGCTAATCTTATCTATCTACATAAGGGTTCCTAACCACTGAATGATTTCGTCTCATTGGTCGAAGCAAGAAACGATTCTAGCTAATCAAGAGTGGAATTTTACTAAGTATAGCAAAATGTGCATTTTGTTAGGGAAAACTGGTTGGATAGTTAGTTTGAACTCTAAAGCTTAATGAAAGAATCCTAAATAACAAAAACGAGGGTTTAATTGTTCTTGGACTGCAGAAAGAGCAAACCAAACGTAACGAAAGAATCCTGCTTTGGATTCATCTACGGGATAAAAACAATAGAAGCTATAGCATCTGTATAGAAACAGTGTATATATCTGTATATATTGCAGGAAATCATAAAACTTGGTTCTTCTTTTGTGTAGCATTGTAGTAAAAAAAATCTTTAAAAATCCTAAAATAATGCTTTCATATGAACAGAATGTAATACCAGTGGTTTAGGTTGAGGAAGCGGAAACCATGTTCACAGGGGAAGAATTGGCCCGAGTTTGCAACTGCTACGTGGTGTTATCACACCCTTCTTTGTCATCCAAGCAAAGCTGAGTGAATATCGGCAGCCTCTTTCTATGTTTGTAATGCTCGAAAACATCATCTGGAAGAACTCTGTCCTGTGATTTCACAAAATCAGCTTGAGCTTGAGTGAGTGTTGGGAGTCCATCATCGGAAGGTGACCAATCATTCTTTGTCGCCACAGTTTCAAGTCCAGCAGGAGGTGACGACAAGTCTGGCTTTTGCATCACAGGTCCAAGCTCTTTTGGGGTCACTACGTCTAGTCCTCCATCAACAGAAGGTGTCAAGCCAAGTCTTGAGCCATTGGTGGTACTGAGATTGGGTGCAGGGTTAGTGGAGATGGGAGTGTGGAGAGGTGGCTTTCTGGTGTTTGCGTTGGGGTGGCTAGAGAAAGGTGTTGTGGGGAGTGAGATTCTGGTTGGTGATGGGGACAAGTCATGAGGAATGTGGTGGCCAGTGGATCTTGGAGACCATGATGGGTGATGATAGGGAGATGGTGCTTGTTGATGCGTCTGATAGCTTGGAGACAGAGCATAGCCAGGCGGATTCTGCAGGATGATTCACGTAAAGCGTCATTTCATCATTATCAATAATTCTTGTTACGCGATAATGAAGAAGATGAATACCTGGTTTCGTCCTGATTGGCTTCTGGGGCTGCTAAACGCTGTGTTCTTGTGTTGAATCTGGACGGCTGACGAACGTGGGGAGCGTCCAAGAGAGGTCAAGCTGGTAGGTGAATCTTTGTTTCCAGAGGCTGATGTGACAAGAACACCATCCATCAAGACTCCTTCATCCGAGTACGAAGCCGAGAAGCGCCTACGAGGGAGAGGATCTGAGTTTGCGTCCCGTAAGCATTGCAGCAGGAGAGACTTTGAGTTGCTGATGCTGTAGTTCCTTTTAGGAGTCACCGGACTCGAACTCGAAAGTGACGACATTTTCTGTTGAAAGCGGCTCTGCCCAATCTTATCCATCGGCCATGTCTGGCTGCTTTGGGGGCTCTGCGGAAAAAATGGCTCGTTTTTGTCCATCAGGTATCTACTGTTTGAGACTGTGGGATTCCTAATTGATCATTCAAGCACCAGAGAGATAACAAAATTAGGTTTTTTCCCCATCAAAATCACCCAAAGGTTCTGCTTTAAGCTTCGATTCAACTAAGAACAAGCCTCCGCCTAAACCAAAATTGACGATGAAGATTCAGGGGATAAACGGCAAAAATCCACCGAAGATTCACCGATAATCATCACAATATGAAGAAATCAAAAGCCACAGGAAGAAGAAGAATCAATTTCGGATCAGAAAATCAAAACCTAAGGAAGCAGAAGGAAGAATCGGGAACTCGAACCGTTTCAATCACGAAAAAGCAAATTGTAAAGCTCGAAACTGGAACAGAATCAGAACGAATACCTCGAAAATCGAGTAGCGAAACCTAATTCGTGCTCCACTGATTCGATAGCACAGCGAAGCTCGCTCCAGAAAATCTCCAGAAAGAGAAAGAAGAAGAGGGAAAAATCAGATTCAAACGGACGAAAGTTGTTAGCGTCTCAGTATATATACAGTTATCCGGAAAAGATGACGGCGGTAACATATTCCGTGATCCATTTGACGGCGTTTCTGTTTCCGACTTCCACTAAACCGGGTGAAGACGAGGTATAAACCAAAAGAATTATCTAATCGGAAATGATTTAATCATTCGACCCAGCAACTCTGGTTTTAAATTTTAATACAAAACGTTTTAACACTTTACTACTACTTTCAGTACTTTGTAACATTCCAAACAATAATCAAATAAACAAAGACTTGGGTGGGGTTCGAACCATCGACTTGATGGTCAAAGTCAAGGCAAGACCAAACAAAAACAGAGACCCATGAATATACAAAGGACCAAAGAGAAAGGAAGAAGAAAAAAAAAACCATAAAAACTATACATATTACACAAAGCTTTACACAGATTCTAGCTTTTTTGGTGATGAGCTCTTTACCAATAGAGAAAGCTTTCAAATTCCATCAATGGAGTGTTTGTTTCAGGCTGCCATTAAGCAGAGACATCAGCCCTCCGCCGTGAACTCTCTCCTCCGGGATCATAAAGTCAAAGATGTTCCTCCCATTGCTGCCACTATTGTTGTTTGTTTCCGTTTCCGGTCTCTCGGTGTTTGAGAAGCTCAAGGATTTCATCGATGGAGGCACAAGAACCTGCATTGGTATCATCAGCTTCTGCCTTTTCTCAGTGTGATGATGCAGCTGCGGCTGGTGATCAATGGAGTCCGTGCAATCAGAGACCGCGCTGACTCCAGATTGAGAATGATCAGTGGTCGTAGTAGTAGTCGCAGTGGCTGTTGTGGTCTGGGAAGAAGTAGAGACAAGGCCACGGAAGAGTCCCGGTCCAATCAAACCAATCTTGCTTCCAGCTTTGTCCTGAGACATACTGTTATGCGCAGCGCATAAACCGCTCTTTCCTCTAGCGAACTTCTCGCATTTCCAGTCTCCTCCCCACGAACACCGTTTCCCTCCACCGTGAGCCTTGCAGAAATCAGTGCTGCCTTGCGCGCTCTTCTCGCAACCGAAGGATTTGCACCGTTTCCCACCACCGTGCTTCACACAACAATCAGTCCTCCCACGAGCGCTCTTGGTGCACCCTGCCACAACACATCTCTTCCCGCCACCGTGAGCTACACAGAAACTCGTCCCACCGTGAACACTCTTAGGACAGATCCCACCTCCATCAAACATACAGCGTTTTCCTCCACCGTGTGCTTTACACAGCGGAGTACTACCTTCAGCTCCCTTCGTACATCCCGCGAATATGCAGCGTTTCCCTCCACCATGAGCTTTGCAGTAGTTTGTACTCCCTTGAGCACCTTTCGTACACCCTGATGACTGACAACGTCTCCCACCACCGTGTGAAATACAAAGCCCGGCTTGTCCTTCAGCACTCCGTGTACATCCTTCGATCCTACACCTTTTGCCACCACCGTGCTTGATGCAGAGCCCGGATTTGCCACGTGCAGCCTTAGCGCATCCCTCCGGGAACCCACACCGTCTTCCACCGCCGTGAGATATGCAGAAATCCGTTTTCCCTTCAGCGCTTTTCGTGCATCCCAAGTGTTGGCATCTCTTTCCTCCACCATGTGCTTTGCAGAAAGTAGTTTTGCTCTCAGCACCTTTGTTGCAGCCTGCCTTTTGACATCTCTGACCACCTCCATGGCCAATGCAGAGCCCCGAAGCTCCTCTAGCTCCTTTCGCACATCCCATGAACTTGCACTTCTTCGGGTTCGTCGTCCTGTGCTGAGAAGATGTCGCAGATGCCGTCCTCTCAGAGAAACCGCCTACGGAGAACTCTGACTCATGGCTCAGCTGTGAGTTATAAGCATCACTTCCGAAATTAGTATTGCACTCCTGCATTCTTGAAGGCTTTCGAACGTTCTCCGTCCTTGGAGCGAAGAGAAGCGATGGCATATATCCACCTGAACGCTTTGCAGAGGTGGAACCTTCATCAACATGTGACACATTAGTCTCTGTATACGTCAACAACGAACAATCAAGACCGCTGAAAGTATCCATGGTCACAGCGGGAGGACCAAGCTGCAGGATCGAATCACCACCTGAAGAGAGTTCCTGAACAATCCCAGAAGAAGCTGAGCCTTTGTTGTTATTATTAACCCTGACATTGTAATAATACGAAGGCGGTGTTGGCCCCAAACCGAGAACCAACCGGCAACCACCATCAGGACAGTTTGAAACATCAGAGCAAAGCTTGTGGTTATGGTGAGAGCTCCCCATTAATCTCCCTGCGCTGCTTCCAAGGCATTTCAAGCTGAGGGCAGTGTCACCGAAATTGTCAAGCTTTGCAATACCGTTGGCACGAGAGAAGTGAACGACACTCTCGTTCAGATCCATATGAAGAAGACAGAAGGAGGCAAGAGGAGGAGGAAACAGAATACTCAGAACAACAATACGTAGAACACCTTGTAGACTATAAACACAAAAGCAGCTTGAGGTATAAGCATCTCCCACCGCTGACGAATCCCCATGTGTCTGCCCTGTCCATCTTCAAGAATGAGAAAGAGCAAGAACCTTTCTGCAGCAGTCACAAAATCTCTTGTTAGTGGAAAAGCTAAGAATGATGAAAAAAAAAAAACACAATAACATGAGACTGACTAATAATCAACAGTGAAATACAAATTGCGGTTAATGGAGTTAAAAGAGATTTAAAGTACAGACCAATAATTGGTTATAACTGTGCTTGAAAAGGACCAAGTACCAACCAGAATGACTTATGGTTACAACATTTTGTGGACTTTGGGGTAAAAGTGAAACGTGAGGGTACATCTTTCTTTGCACAAATAAATTCGAAATTTAGAGATTTCCCCCAAAAAAGCAGATTGAAAGAAAAGGATAAGATAAGATTGGTTTACAGAATAGTACACAGCAAAAAAAAAACTCAATAATTTTTGTTACTTGAACTACTAAAAATGCAAAATTTGAATTACTACTGTATCCGAGAGAGATCAATAGACTTTGACAACTTCTATCATAAACTCGAAAGTCAACTTTGCTTGATGAGTGATAACAACAATGTCTCAGGATTTTTCTATTATAGATGAGAGAATCCAAACACAATAACAGGATCCAGGGAAATAATTGTTTATAACGATTAAAAAACACACCATGGAATCAACAAAATTCTTCACTAGTTTCTAACTTTGGGGAAAAATATCTAAATTCACAACAAAGTATAAAGTTTTTTGTAACAAAAAAAATATTTACAATCATTAAGGATAAATTATACTCTACAAATTTTAGCAGCTTGAAAGTGAAAAAATACAAAGACCCCAAATTCAGAAACATATAGCACAACCAAAGAAGAGCATGAGACAATTACAGATATAAGCTGCCAAGCTGGAGAAATTCAAAAACTGGAAAACATTAAACTCATAAACCAAACAGAGAAAAAAAAAAAAAACCCCATGCATTTTGATTCATCATTCATTACTCGATCGATCAGTGATAAAAGAAACAAAAAATACTTACAGGAGAAAGCAAAACCTGGTGGATCTGAGAGACAGAGTGAGAGAGAGATTCCGTGAGCAAAGAAAACTATCCTTGGAAACTGAGAATCTCCTCGTCTCAAAATTTAGGGAAGAAGAAGGAACAAAAAGACTAAGCACAGGTGTCGAAATATTAGCGGGCTACAAAAGAGAGAGAGAGAGAGAGATATTATTTATGAGCGTGGACGCTTCAGGTCCTTCTCGTTTATAAACCGAGAGAGGGAGAGAGAGAGAATCCATGAATTACCCAAAATGCCCTCTGTCTCCGTCGATAGTAACGGTTCTGATTGGATGAGACAGTGCTCTATTTTGGGAAATCTATTAAATTGCTTTTCGATGAAAACGACGCCGTCTTGTAAGGGGAAAAGTCTTGTATGCCCCTTGTTTTCTGTTGGTTCGAGTGGTAGTGATGTTGCGACAAGTCACTTCTGATATAAATAAAAACCGATTACCGTCTTAACCGGTCAAAATTGATTCCTTTCCAAAACACTTATGACGTCATCATCATTTTATGAAATCTAAAGTTGCTTTTCTTTTTTTTTGTATATTGATGATATCAGCTGATCGAGTCTTACAAACTTGATGATGTTCACAATTTTTTTGTTTTTTTTGTCATTTTAGGTGTCAGTTTTTTTATAAACAAGACAAAGAAAGAAAGAAAGAAAACAATATTTTTCTCATGCCACGAATATGGAGTAAAATATAGAATTAGCGGGCATCATTAAACCTAGTTATATTTATAAATAAGATTCCACTATCCAAATGCAAAGCACTTGTGGCATAAAGCTTCTCAAGAGATTTAGGAAATTTTATCTTTTATTATATGCTTGTATCTAGATCGATATCTACATGTAGATCTATATGCTAAAATGGTCAGTCTTTATCCAAACAATCAACATTTTTAAAAAAAACAGGCACAAACACACACACAAAAATATGTTTATAATTTTTTACTACGTTTTAGTGTTCACAATCTTTTTATGATGTTTGATTAAACGTTAATATAATTTGTTTCCTTCAAATACAGATACAAAAACATCATTTACATAGACGTACTACATAAATGCAGAATTTTCGTTTGAAATAACCAAACGTCTAATTGATTAATAGGGAGAAAAACGTTAGATGTGCGCTGTGAGGAGAAGTATGGACAAATTATTTATTTATATTTTAGAACGGACCATGTTTGTAATATATAATTGATATTAATTTTTGTCGCGGTGTGATGAGAATTGTCTCAACGGACCACACACCGTATGAGAAGATATTTAAAAATAAAGGGAAATTTGATTTTTATGTTGTTCCAAGAGGCAATTCCTATTACGTCAGCCAATGAGGTTCCTTGCAGAGTGGAAGAATCTATCATATTATTATAATGATATTGAATTGTTATATTAGAGGAAAAGTACAACAAAGAAATAAATAGAAAAAGGAATCTTACTATTTTATTGTTGAGTCGACGATTCCGTCAGCATCGGCCTCAACTCCCCACGGGAACTGCTGACGTCGACAATATTTTATGCTTTTTGTTACTTTTATGTTATTTTAAATTATAATGTCTGGTAAAATGTGTATGTGGAAACACGAAAGCCTTGTTGCTGTATTTTAGACAATGTTTTAGGTTTTGACTTCATGTCATAGACATAGAGTTCGTTCGCATAATCGCACCGCAGCCATATATTTCTATTTCAGAAACTTTACTTACTTACTGTTGTAAAATCACTCAGCTCCTAGTCCTAGATGGATTTTATAAAACTGAATTGCTTAAGAAATAATCAACAACAGGCCCAAGTCCAGCCCAAGCCCCCTACCTTCTTCTCATGGGACAACATAAACCGTGATTCTTGAAAATTAGATGTATACTTTAAATCTTTAATATAAACTCAGATTCTCGAAAGTCGAAACTTGTTTAGTTGGTGTTAGGATGCTAATATGTGCCAAGAACTGGTTGGCTTATAATAAACTTTGATTCATATGGCACTAATTGTAACGAATCGATATGTAGAGCAAAGCTCATCTTTACAATTAAATAAAGTCTCAATTGCATTTCTTTAAACTTCCTCCTAAATCCATAAAATCTCTCTACCCAAATTCCTCAAGATCCCACAAGCCCTTTGTACCGAGCGTACGACATTATCATCACGAACACCACTGCACACAATGTTCCTGTCAGGATCACCACCTGCAACCACATAACCCGATTTAGGTTGATCCTGAGATTTTCATTTTTATTTCTGAATTAAGCAAACCGGGATCTGGTTACATACATATTTGAACATGTATCCATGGCCTTCGTTCCATGTGTATGGAATGTTCATCCCGAAAATTCCAGCGACAAGAGAGTATATTGATAAGCAAACGGTTCCAGAACTTAACACAAGCTCCAACTGCAGGATTTTGAAGATAATCAAGAAGACAAGTTCGAGAAGATGATAAAAAAAAACGCTTAGGCTTTCAACATTCACTTACCTGAATCAGCTGATTACGATGATTGTCTAGCTGCGTAAACAAAATCAATGATTACAGGTTTCAGACTAGGATTATTATGAAAGTTCAGGTTTCAAAAACGAGGTTTCGTTTTTGATTACCTGGATGTTAATGTAATCCTCTGTGTCATCGATATACTCACGTAGCTGCATCAAAATAAAAAATTGATAGTTGGAAGAACAGTTTTTACGAAGAAAAAAAAGTTCTGCTGCAAATAACAGGGGAAAAAAATAAGAAAAAGCAATAAGATAACCGTTGTTAATCTGTTCAAAGTGCTGTCGATTTGCATGAAGTATGCCTGTAAAGAAAACGAAAACATCTGTTTTTTAGACTTCACATGTGATTCGAAGGATAGATAAAACCTTTTTAGAAGTAAGAACTAACCTCGAGCAACATTTCAAGTTCTTCAACATCATTCTCATCTCCACGAACAGTGGCTAAACTCGCTCTACTTGCTCTCGAAATCTTAGAACCTATCGTTGGGGAAGTAGGATACCAAGGCTCACCAGGACTACTAGCCGGTGAGGAAGCACTAGAAAGTTTCCTTGAAAGGTAAAGATCCGCCATATCATCGTCATCATCCAGCAACTGTTCGAGCTCATCTCTTACCTGCAAAAGGCGATGAAGCTTTTCAATTCTTTCCATTACAAAAGTTAAAGAGACAACACTGCATTTGTATGAAAATACTTGGAAAGAAAAGATACACTCGCTCACCTTTTGAACTCGAGCTGTCAACCGAGTCATGGCACTCTTCAATTTCCGAACTCTGTCCAAGTTACGGCTACTAATCTACAAGATAAATGTAAAAACACTGGTTAAAAATCGGACCACTGGTGAAACTAAACGTTGAGGTAACCTACCTTTGAGGTAAGTTCATCCAAGGCAGGATAAGCAGCTGTTTCTAATTCTGTTGTCCTTGCAGCCAAGAAGCTACAGATTGCTTCTAAAGCAACTTCCAGAGCCCGAAATTCAAATGGGGATTCTATAGTTGCAAACAAGCAGACATTTCAATACACCAAAGAAAGAAAAAGAAAAAAGTATACGGATTTTAAAATGTTTTGAAAAGCTAGAAGTCTGTGGAGGTAGTACCATCGTCTTCACCATTATCACCATCTCCTTGACCATGGTGTGCTTCGATTCCAACAGGTAAGCGTCTTTGAAGCTCCGCCACAACGGGAATGACATTTTCATCTGATGGATCCCGAAGCAAAACCTGTAATATGTCAAGTCATTACACTACAATAAGAGACAAGGTTCATCTTCTTTGACAATAATCGAGCTGAGACTTGAAAAAACCCTTATTTACGGAATGATAAACCCTAATTCTCTACACAATCCATAGTGCCCACTCGTAATATAGCCAAAGCTTGTCAAGCTAAGTGATTCCTCAAGTTCCTTCCACAGTGTCAGTATTATAAAAGAACCAAACTCCAATATGAACAAATCAAAATCGAATCTATCTACTCCAAAAACCCCAGATATCTAAGTGACTGTGAAAAGGAATCAAAGAGAAAGCTAACCTCTTCGGAAGTTATAATCGCCTTGATATGCTGCATCAGCCCACAACCAAAAAGAGAGAGAAAAATACTAATCACACTGTGAAACAAAAAAAAACCCAGAAACCACAGATGACTGAAGAACAAATTAGATGAAAACCGAAGAATCCAGACCTCCAAATTCAGCACAATGGCTCTCTCTCGGCCAAGAATAGTGGATGGGTAAGATAGATTTGGGTCGAGAATCCGGAGATCGCGAGCGTGGATCTGGACACGGTGCATGATAGCATACTTGTCGACATCGAGCGCCGAACTCACTCCCGTCGCGTTTATAGAAACCCAATTCCGTGACGATTGAGGCGTCTTCTTCTTCACCGTCACAACCGCCGAAGGATCCACCGGAACCATGTACCCGTTATTCTGCGCCATGTCTAACAACAAAAAATCTTCACCGTCCACTTCCACGCCGTCTGAAAAAAAATCAGCATCAGCATGAGACAAAAAAAAAAAAAAAAAAGGTCGCGAATTCTTCACCAAATTGAAAAATAAGTTCAAAAAAAAAAAAGAGAATCCGACCTTTTTGCTCAAGTGTTCATTCGAATTCGACGGAGGAAACAATACTCTAGTGGATTCAGAAAAGCGAATTTGCGTCCTGTCTGCTCCTTTTTCATCAAAAGATTTCGCAAATCTTTCTTTCGGAGCTTTTTAGGTTTGTTTTGTGTGTTTGCCGGAGAGTTTTTAACAGTTTCAAAAAAAAAGGAAACGTGACTAGATTCTGTTAAGAGGTGAAACCATTTTCAAGTCAAACCAGTGATAACCGAAATAAACCGGTTATGATAGTCATGAATCATTATTATGTACCGTGTCCAGATAATCATCCCTAATATATCTGGATCTTTTAGTTAAGACTTAAGATTATCATCCCTAGTATACATGAATAATTAGATGATTATCGAAGAAAAAAAGGAAAAAATTTAACAACGAGATAATTATTCGGGAGTAACTAAAAATGTTTAAATTGTCCAGATTATTCATAAAATTACTTGAAACAGAATATCCAAAACTACCTAAACCCAAATCTGATAGAATAATACCTGAATTATCAATACTATACTCGTTTAAAAAAGAAAAAAAAAAATCGAATGGTAATTTGAAATACTTGAACTGTCCCTGTACAACTAAAAATGTTTAAATTATCCAAATTATTCACAAGATTACTTGAAACAGAATATCCAAAACTACCTAAACCCAAATTTGATAGAATAATACATCCTGAATTACCAATACTATACTCGTTTGAATAAGAAAAAATCGAATGGATACCTTCAATTTCCGATTTTAACAAAAGAAAATGAAAAATAAGAGATTCACAATTTCCATTTTACTCCATAATTTCTGATTATTACTGCATAAGCTTAAGCTGCTTAACTGCTTAAGCAATAAGCATATTTATAATTGTTCTTTTTAATTAAAAAAAAAATTAGAGTCCATTGGAATCAGATCCTAATGTTCAAGGAATGTTTCAAGTCGCCCACATGGAGAAGATGCTGTCCCAAAGCAATTTTCCTCTTGCCGATTTCATCAACAACACTCAGATCTCTACAGATATCAATCTTGAATTTCACCACCGCTTCTTCCATCTTCCCCAATCGAATCTTCTCAAAACCCAAAAGATGCTTCCTCGGCGATCCATGAACCGCCGGAGGCGTCGTGAATAGAAACACCGTGTGAATCCCTTCTCTGTCTCCGCTGTTCCGTACCTTAGTATGAACCTCAAACGCCGGTCCGCCTCCGCCGCCGGAGACGGCGTTCTCGCAGTGCGGTCCGATCGCGTCCAGCGATTGACATTCCGAAGATCGGCAAACGTGACTCTCTTCTAGACGGAGAGAAACGAGCCGTGGTGCTTTGACTAAGCTGTGGCTAAATTTGGTGTAGCTGAGGCCATCTCCGAAGGCGTAAACCGTTTCTCCGGTGTAAAATCGGTAACTCCGACCCGGGTATCCGTTTGATGTATCGGGTCTCATGTTCATATTCGTCATCGGAACTTTCTCCACATACGATTGTGGATACCAAGTCATCGGCAATCTTCCACCTTTAAATCAGAATTCACTGGTTATCACTGGTTTTAAGCTATCGAAATCGCAATTACAGAGAGACAAGAGTCTTACTTGGATTATAACGGCCGAAGATGACGTCAGCGATGGCGATGCCGCCGGCTTCTCCGGGATAACCAACCCATAAGATTCCGGCGATCTTCGCGTCATTCTTGGCGAAGGTAATGTCGAAACCTCCACCGGACATGATAACGAGAAAGACTGGTCCTTTTGCTGCTTTAGCCACTTGGGTCACAAGCTCTTGTTGCTGTCCGGGAAGATTCAGATCGACTCGGTCCCGGCTCTCTGCCTCAATCGATTGATCTGCCCCGATCACAAGCACCGTCGCATCAGCAGCCGCTGCTAGTTTCGTGGCGGCGGCTACATCCGCCACCGCGCAAGCCACATTTGAGCAGCCCGGTAGATACGTTGTCGATACCGTTCCGGCTAATCCCTGAAGCGGTGTTGTGTACTTGCACGGCGTGCCTTCGTAGTTTCCGATCATTGTTTTGGTGACATTCGCGTTGGGTCCAATCACGGCTAGCGTTTTGATCGCTGTAGGAGAAAGCGGCAAGCAACCATTGTTTTTTAGCAGGACAATGCCTTGTCTCGCTGCTTCTGCGGCTAGCTCTTGGTTCGCTGTTGTGCAAACGTCCTTAGGACCCAACCCACCATAGATCTGCTTCTTTGGATCTCCGTCGAAGAATCCTAAACGCATAAGTGTCATAAAGTTGTTCGAAATGGCTTTGTCGATAGCTGCCTCCTTTACCAAACCAGCCTTAACCGCCTCCTCTGTATGTTGACCCAAGAACGAACCACAGTTCAAGTCCAAACCTGCATTGATAGATATAGCTGCAGCTTCGGCCGGAGTCTTGGTATAGTGTTGGTTCTTATACAACACATCTACCGAATCACAATCCGAAACAATATACCTATAACAAAAAAAAACTCGAAATCAGAACTGAAAAGCGTTTAAAACCAGATGAGATTCGGATCAGATCAGATCATTTTACCCGTTTAACTTCCATTCGCCGCGGATTACACCGGAGAGGAGATCGGGATCAGCGCATGTCGGTTTACCGTTAACTTGATTGTAAGAACACATAACACTCGCGACATTCCCATCAATCACACAACTCTTGAACGGTGGTTGATACGTATCATCCATATCCTGCTGATTCACCTACTCCAACAGACAAAACACTCAAAAACATTCAGTTACCAAAACACACTCAAAACATATGTTGCCTCTATGTTTTAAACAGTTTGAATCCGTACCACGGCGTTAAAATTGTAGCGTTCTATGCCTTTCCAGTTATCGACGTCGTATGCGGTGTAGTGTTTGCAGCAGGCGGCGACTTTGAGGCGGTTAGCGTCGCTGCCGTCGGTCTCTTGAAGACCCTTAACGTAACCTGAAGCATACTTGCTAGAAAGCAATGGATCTTCTCCGGGAGTCTCTTGTCCTCTTCCCCATCTCGGATCTCGGAATATGTTAACATTCGGTGACCAATACGTTAGTCCGGCTAATCCAACGTTGTACATTGCCCTCGCTTCCGTCGAGACAACCTTAACAAATGGAGTAATAATCACAACAATGTCATCCAAAAAAATTATCTGTGTGCCCAATCCGGTTTAACGAAAACCGAACCCGTATCAAAAAGAACCGATTACTCATAGATACCGGAAATTATAATTTTGGGTACCTACTAAAACAATTAGAAGATGGAAATTTCAGTAGTGGTTAAAAAAGTACGAAAACGACGTTCGTATAACAACGTGTTGAAAAGAAAAGTGTTTACTTGTATCAAACGAAAGAGAAAAAACTAACGAGAGGCCCAGTTGCATGATAACTGAGATATTTTTCATTATCCAAAAAGAGAAACAAAAGCAAAGGACGAAAGATGAAAATAAAAAGGAATACTTACAAAAAAGAAGAAGTCGAAAAATTTGATAAAATTTATTTACCTTGCCGATGGCTTGGAACAGAGATACGTTGAAAGAAGCGGCGGTTAATATGACCTGAGGGAAACTCGTAGCGCCGGGAACTTGGCCGGAGAAATGCGTGCCGGGTCCGACGTAAGAGACACCGTGAAGTGCTTCCGACCACCATTCGTACGTCGGAATCCCAAGACGAGTCACGCCGTTTGCTTTACTCACTAAAAACCCGATCTTTTCCTGCAACGTGAGTCTCGCGACCAGATCAGCGACTCGATACTCGATCTTCAAAACGGTGTTGCAGAATCCATAAGCGGCGAGGGAAGGGTTTCCGGCGACGTCACAGGCGAAAACCGGCGAGGATTGAGCGTTTGATGAATACGAGAGACAGAGAACGAAGCAGATGAAGGTAAGAAAAACAGAGGATGGTGCTCTGCTTCGCCTTGTTAGTGGAGAAGAAGAGCCCATCGTGGTGTGTTTCGATTCTTGGGATATTATTATTTTTGGTTTAGTGATACTATTTATATACTAGTAAGCAGCTACTACGCTCACTGAAGAATCTGTGGTTTGTATAAATAATTTAGGATTGTATTATTACTCTATTTTAATCGGATATTTTTTTTCCGCCTATTATAATTGAGATTATGTAAAAAAGATGATACAGTCCTCGAGGAAAGAAATAATGATACGGACCATACAGTCTACAATGTGGATAGTGTTAGTATTTATGACCTCTGATCTTTCATCTTTGTTAAATCTATTTTACTTATAATGTTTTTTTTTTAAAACAACGAATCTAGCATGCGAGTGGATTTTAACTTTTAACTTTTAGCTTTATACGTAAGTGCACATAGAATATTCAACGTATACAATTGCTTTTTTCCTCTGTTTTGTCTGTATCAACGTATAAATTTACCCTTTTTCGGTATAAAATTTAAATGTTAGTATATATTCGTTTGAGTATACAAATGTTTCAGGCGACCCCATATCAAATTTATGCTTTTTCAAAGCTACGGAAGATTTGGTTTTTGGTCTGACAATGTCTTTTTAACTGGTAGATTAACTGTATTTGGTAAGTATATTTAGTATGTTTTCAAAATATATTATACTACTTTTCTAAACTAATTCATTTGAAAGATACATATTCAAATATTTTCATGGTGTAATAATCTTAAAGCTAATAAAGTAAGAGGCATGTGATATATATTCACTCGATTAAAAAAACAGCTCAAGCTAATGAGAATCAATTCTGACTCTGTTAATAGGAAACTGTGTACAAACTCATTTTTTTTTATGTAAAATGAAGTGGCCAAAAATCCACCATTAACCGAGTAGATACTATATATATGCGAATTCTATTTTTGTTTTCAATTAATTAATGACCAAATTACGGTGGGAAAATAGAGACAAGGAGAAAAAAGTAAGAAAGGAGAATCATAGATCCCAATAAGCGAGAGTGTTTGGTAGTGACCCGTGACGGTGTCGTATTGTTTATCAAATGGTAAATTTTTGTCGAGCTTGAAAATGCAAGTTGCCTTCTCTTGTTCCGAGTCCGTGAATCTTGATGGTGTTTCCACAGTTGTTTTTATTTGTGTGACAGGCTGTCTCTTTAAGGTTCTCTCATGCGCGTGACTCGGTACCATTGTATTAATTCATTTTACAGCACAATTAAATTCAAACAAAGCCGTTTTATATAGTTGAGTTACTTTGGTGATTAAACAAGAAAAATAACTTGATACCAGGACAATTTTATTATTTCCATGTAATAAACGACGCTATGGATATGACTTATGATGATGATATGTATTCTTAAATCCTAAAACTACTTCGTTGTGTGTTTTTTTTTTTTTTTTTTAGTTTCTCAACTATATCCAGTTAGCTAAGAAGTTGATTTGACTTATAAGTATATAACATATGATGAAGGTGAATGTTTGTATATTTTGTAAGATATATAAAATGAAAATAATAACCACCACTTGGATTTAACTTTACGTATATCTGTAGTTTTTTTTAGTTTTTTTTTGTTTTATGGATGAGTGAAGTGATAGGTCATCATTTGGATATATTATATAGATCGATTAGTCTTATATTTTTAAAGATATATATCAAGTAAGCCATCGAATTCCACATCAACATCCAATGCATGTGTCTGGAGACTCTGGACCATCTATGATCTATCAGCCGAAATGAAAACCGAATTAGAAAATCTTGTTCACATATATACATATATATAGCTCATTTGATTGATTTTTTTTCTTTCAACTAGCTCATTCGATTGATTTAAAGAAAGTAAGAAACAAATTAAGGAGCAATGTCAAATATTTGCGTTTTGTACAAATTAACTTCACCGAAAATATATTGAAATTACTCATCTCTTCGAAAACAATGTCAAGAAGTGATTCAAACTAAAAAAAAACCCCGTTATTTTATCATAGAATCGCCCATAACGAACGGTTTAACTATCCACGTAATAACTAAGCGTCTAAGCCTATACAACTATGTCATGCATGATACACATCATACACTTCACCCTTTGTTATGTTAAATTTTAAAAAGTTCGAATACATAATCGTTAGAGATTAGTTTTCTACAGAGAGTCAGAGAGATCATGCATCCGATATCTAATGTACAATATACTAATCTAGTTTTGGTTAAGTACTGGTCCTACTAGATAAAGCCTTTTTTACGATGATATTATTATTATTTAACATCCTAACGTACGTAGTGTCACCACGTAAATGTAGCAAGCTTTAAAACAAAATGTTTCAAGTTGCAAATATATACTGTCACATCATATGTACGAACAAAATTGAGAATAGTGATTTACATAAAATATATGTACAAAACCACCGATGCCTACATACATTGCAAATGATTATATTAAAAAACCAAAAAGAAGTTAAGACGAAGAATAAATTATCAGATTAATTTGTTCACTTTGCATATGACACATACTTCACTCACAAGTAACAAAGGGATCTAAAAACTTTATTCGATAAATTAATTAAATTGACAAAGATCATGATTGCTAAGTGCCTTGAAGCTCAAAAAAAAAAACTATTAGCCTATTAGTATATATATAATTCTCCTTTAATATGAAGCTTTATGTGAATATATAGATAAATAAGCATACAATGATTACTAATATATGTTACATTTAAACTAGCTTAATGCTATTTACTAACTTGCTACAGTAAACTTTAGTCTGATTATGAAATTCCAATAACCACAAATTTTTTCAGTCACCGCAATCATCAGCATCAAGATCAAGTGTGGCTTTATCTAATAATGGAGAGTTAGGTTTGCGGCATTGGAGACATTACATATTAATTTAGGATAATATTACAACCTGGCCGAATTAGAAACAAAACAAAGTTGCATGGCTACGTGTAAGCAGGCAACAAAAATAAATCAAATTAGGTTATTTACGTCTCAACTACGTTACGACAATGTCTTTGATCACATATCCAAATGTTTCTGATTTTTTTTCCCATACAATGCTTTTGAAATGCAAATCTTTATATATTTCACAACTATGATTATAGAGAAGGAGAATTGTCTCACCGATTACGTAATTTTACATAATCATAATTTATGCTCAACTATACTAATGTTTTATTAAAAAAATATTAATATTTATGGATAATAATATACACGAATTCAAAATTATAATAATTTTTTTTAAAAAAACTGAACAACGTTGAGTGGTACACCTTTTTTGTTGTCTTGTTTTCCATTTGTTCAATTTATTTTGTTGTTCCATATATACGTTTTTTATATATCATTTCACCATTGTATTGTAAATCATTTTATATTTTTCATGATTCCACCTATATATACGTTAACCACTAGAATCTTAACTTGTCGGAAATTACTTTCGTCTTGTATTTATTTATATTCTCCACAAAGAAACAATTGGGAAATTTCTTTAAAATGATCTTTTACTATATTAATAACATAAACTTTTTGACCTACTCTTTGAATAATATACATAAGGTAGATGATGTTGTTGTACACGGCATGTGATCTTTTAGACATTATTATCAATAGCTAGAGCAGGTGCGGTGAGGATCGATGAAGACATAACTACGATCAATTATTGTAATCGGTCACATTTCAAAAACCAAAAAATACTCTTACGATAACTAGGTAGTACATGTAAACGTGTTCATAATCATAATCGGATAACTTGATTAATTATATACTCACCAAACATGTAATTACTAATCATTAATCATTACATATATAGTAATATACCACGACGAAAAATATATGAGTTTTTGTCCGATAATTCACGGACTTCCTGATTTCCAGGGAGACTGAGTATTTGCTTTTGAGTTCAAGTCTCCGCTGGAAGAAAATGTTTATCAACTATTGATTCCAGCTCAAGGAAAACTATGTTAATTAACAAAATCTAAAGGCTATATTATGTTAGTTTATTGTGTACAAACCTGCCACGAATCAAAAAGAATCATACCCACTCAATAAATTTATATATTAGTTTCAAATAATTAATACAATAATGATAATAATAAGTATTGATGATACGAAGTGCTAACAACTTCAATAACACGAGTAGATGTGTCACTAGATGATCATGTTCTTCAATCGGTGGTTGCTCAGTCGATGTATAAAATTGCTCTAAGCTTGTTTTAGTGTATTCCTTACTATCTATAATTTTATTTTATATTTAAGCAAATCTTTTCCCTAAGAATTGATTACTTATCTTTATATACGTCACGTTCAAAATACACTCAGAAATGGTGAACTCATTTATTTGAAGCCTGATGTAGATGTTCAAAATTGTTAGATATTTGTTGAGTATGAAATAGTTATCGATAACGATGGACCGTATGGTTTATCAATGCGAACAAATGACCAGCAAAATAATGATCTTACAGGTTCCCTTTTTTCTCCATGATATGTAAATCTCTCATATTAAATTATTATACAAATGTGCAGTAACAAAATATTATTGTCGATATGTTTTTTGAGTGAAGAAGAATATAGCTAAAGGTTAGCCACTAAGCCTCCAAATATGGATGGAATGGACCCCGTTCGTACAAACAATATAAGACGCAAAAGTAAAATTAAGAAAACATGTATGGTTATTTTTATTTATTTTCATGTATAGCGAGTTATACTTTTCATTATGGATCACTTGGAATCTAAGCAACTTGTTCATTCATTGGTCCAACTTTAATCAAGTAACAACAAAACTTTACAAAGTTGTAAAATCGTACAAACCATTAAAACGAGTTTTGTTGGTTTAAGAAAAATGATATGTATTCTTATACAGCAGTAAATAAAACAAACCATAACACATCGAACAACGATTCAATCTAATTTTCGCACCATACGTAATAATATTGTTAAAGCCTAAGAAAAACTCGAAAACGAAATTTGCTTTAGACAAACAGTGGATAATAATAGACTGAATCTTCAAACTTAAAAAACCTAGAAGCTAAAAAAAAAAAGAAAAGAAATATTATGTATTTACATGTAACTACTTATGAAGAAGATTTATTGGTTTTGATATCGACCTGCGACTTTAGTGTCGCCATTGGTTAGGTGTTCAATTTGCCAATGTTTTTCAACATTTCTATGATTGTTAATATATATAATGAAATCCATTTCGGTCATGAGAAAAATCAAAGTATTTGAAAAGAGAAAAAGCAATCCGATATTCTTTTTAAAGTGGGATGAGATTGCATCAACTTTTATTTTGCCCATGCCCTACAGCCAGACTATGTTACATCAATTAAATAATATATTAAAATAGCAAAAAAGTGTTCAGTTTTTATAATAAAAAAACTAGTGGTTTCCACTAACATTTTTGAAGAAATCTATTTGTCTTGTAGAATAAAATAATACACTTTAAGATACGAAAAAGCCACCAATCCTAAATGGTGTTATTGTGTACATATGATGTTTGTTTTGCGAAACTGAAAAAAAGATATGAGAGACTTAACAAATGATTATTTTAATTTTTAAAAGAAATGGGTTGCCATCAAAATTTGAGGTTTCTTCTTCTCTTCTTCAACTTGAATTACAGCTTCTGTTTTAATCTCTTTAACCTTTTTATCCCAAATCTCATCGACTAGCTTCCATGTGTCATCGCTGATGATTTGCGTCTGCATAAAACACAATACAAACAAAGAGGAAATATAAGAGAAATGTTAAATGTTATGTTGATCTATATGAATTATGTGATTCGTTTACTACAGTACCTCCATGGGACGAGGAGCACCAAATGTTGCGAAACCGATGTTTCCTGGAGAAAACGTTACTCTCCCGGGAAGCGATACACCGTGGATTCCCCATCTCCCCGCATAGATTAAAGCTCCATATTCATCAACAGGTCTCACCGGTTTCTGTTTTTCATGAATCAAAAGATCTCAAGAAAATAACCGAAATACCTGAAACAGAGAGAGAGAGGGAAGAGAGAGAGAACTAACTTGAGGAATCCTTGGAGCTGTGTTGTAAATGTTCCAAATTTCATCGGCTTTGATTTCTCCCTTCTCAAGAAGCACATCTGAAAATATTATTATCATTGAGTCTATGATATGATGATGTCTGCAATTGTAAAACGAAGAAACAGAGAAGATTTGATGATATGATAATAACCTGTGATTTCTTCAAGAGCTGATTGATATTCTTGTAAGATTGATGAGCATTTCTCAACAGCAAACCTCATATACTCATCGCGTAATGCCTCAAGTTTCGGAATAAGCTACACGTAGGAGAATCGATAATTAGTGGTCTCTGAGATTCTGAAGAAGAGCTAAACAAAAAGAAAAAAGAAGAAGAAGACTTACGTTAGGAACGAGGTCTCTTTGGTTTCGGTAATAAGCTTTTCCAAAAGCAGTCATTCCAGTCTGAAGAATCAGAAACTCCGCACGCTGCGAAGCTTCTAAAGTCGACTTAGCAGAGATCCAACACATGTTTTCAATCCCAAACATCTCCTCTTCAACTACCCTCGCTATATAAAAACAGCCATGAAGTCATCAGCAACAGAGAGAATTCTATGATCCGTAACGTAAAAATTGTTGTATAACAGTCTGAATTTTTTTGTAGATGTGAACTTACGAGCACATGCGCGGATTATCGAGTTCACATAGTCTGACTTTCTCGCAAAAACTCTTCCTGAAGTTTCTACGTATCGCATATTTGGTTGGCTTTGGATCGAATTTATGTCAGTCTGCACAGAGAATCACATTGAGCAATGGTCTAAAGCCAAGTTATAACCGAAAATAGCACAAGAAGGATCCAATATCTCAATCACCTCACTGATTGGACGGTACTGATCTGGAAGATAACAAGCAAGAACAGCAACAGATGCTTCACGGTAAGCCAGTCTCAACTTCAATTCCTCTGGAACTTCAGAACTATCTTCTTGTCCCGTCTCGAATGTTCCTTTTTGCTGTAGTGAGTGGAATCAGAATTTGCTAAAACAGCATCTAAGACTGGATGGATAAACTGGAAATGAAGCACTAATATTTACCCTCTTAAGCGCCTCTAGGAGTTCTTCTCTTCCAATGAAGTCTAAGTCTTTTCTTGCAGTCAAGATTCCAGCTTCATTTCTGAAAACAATTAACCAAACATCAGCGTTTTTACCCCCTAAGCAATCCTCTAAACACGTAGTTGAAGCTGTAACATATTATTTCTTACAGAACGTTTTGCAGTTCTGCTCCAGTAAAATCTTCCGTGTTCTCAGCTACTTCTTGCAGCAACTCCTCCTTCTCATCTTCGGATCGGAAATATTTGTTTCTAGCATGGACCTTCAATACAAAGACAACCTTTAGCTATAGCACAAAGCAAGCCAAAACTCTTTGATTCCAGACAATAAAATTTAGTTACCTTCAATATCGCCAATCTACCGTCTTTTGAAGGCAAACCAACTCTTATAATTTTGTCGAAACGCCCTTTCCTCAGAAGAGCAGGATCAAGTATATCTAACCTATTTGTTGCACCTATGACTAATACCTGACCAAAATCCAAGATTAACAGCAAGAAATGTTTTACTCGAAAAGAAACTTCATAGCAAATAGAAACAATACCTGTGATGTATTAACTTTAAATCCATCCATCTCAGTCAATATCTGAAGCAACCCTTGTTCTCTCTCTGCTCCTCCCTGTTCAATTAGGAGAATACATTAACAACAAGTCAACAACAAAAAAATCTTTTAAACTGAAATCTAACTTCTGGAGGATTGAGCAAAGAACTTACCCCGCCAATATCTGGACCACCTCGCTTACTTCCAATGGCATCAATCTCATCTATAAAGATTATAGAAGGTGCGAATGACCTAGAGCTAGCAAAAAGATCTTTTACACGTGATGCAGCCACTCCTACAAACATCTATAGATTGAAACAAAACACAGGAAACTCCATCAACTCAAGACCTAAGGAAAACAGGATATTTAGGACTGTTTTTCTTATGTCAACACAATCAATTCCTCACCTCAACAAAATCTGTTCCACTTGCCGCAAAGAAAGGTAAACCAGCTTCTCCAGCAATAGCTTTAGCCAACAGAGTTTTCCCCGTCCCGGGAGGTCCATGAAGAAGAACACCTTTTGGACAATAGATGCCTTTATTCTGAAACTCCTCATCATTCTTTAAAATTCGCACAATCTCTTGTAATTCCCTCTTTATATACTCCTGTCCAGCGAAATCATCAAAAGTTACACCAGTTTTCTCCTCTGCTGATATAAATTTTGCCCTGAGAGAGAAAAAAAAAACCAAATATAATCTTAGAGAATGATCTACTTTCTGCCCTTTTTGAGTTAAAAATCAAGTATCTGGTGTTGCTTTTGACATACCTACTCTTGCCTAGGGATCCAAGTGCTTGGCGCTTGAGAGGTGTTCTAATCTTTTTGGTAGGGGTTCCGAGATCACAAGGGATTAGCTTGGCATAGATTGGCCTCATAACACTGTCGATCCAAACATAAAGCGAAACAAACAGAGCAAGCCTCATAGACCAAACCACGAAAGTGGCAACTGTAGTGTAGACTTCAGCTGGAACCACATCTACGTTATAAACTTCTACGTTGACTATTTGCTGATGCAGCTTCTTCCAAACATCATTCCAACCATCAATTGGCATTCGGTCCACAATGTGCCTACGGAAAATGATCTCCTTTTTCGACTCTTCTTCTTCTCCTTGGGGCTCCCCATCTTTATAATAAGGCAATATCACTGAAGCAACAAGAACCACAGAACTTAAGCAAAAGATAGAAAAGATCTAACTTTTTCGGAATTGAAACCGCAGTTGAGCAAAACCATTTCGTTGGCATGTGTAACAAATAGAGAAAACGTATTGAAATGATCAACTTTCATGTGACTCTGAACCTGATATTGTCTGTCCGTAATTTGAGTACTCCATGTACTGAACACTGTTGGAATCTAACAGTTTCATAAAATCGCTAAAATTGATCCGGTGAGAGGTTTCAGGATCCCACTCTGTTCCCTTTAACTTCCCACGCATCGTTAGCAATGTTCTACTCCAATCTGAAGCCATGACAAGCTGCCTTTCTAATTGTACATTCGCCTTTCTCTCCAGCTCTTCCAAGTTGCTAATTCGTTCTCTTTCAGCTTCTCTCAATCTCTGTAAAATGGAAAATCCAGAAAAAGAGTTAAAAAAACCAAAGCTTTGAGAACTCCATTGATTGCTACAACCAAAAAAAATGTCTCAAAAGTTCTTCAATTTCAATTCGAGAATAGAAAAACCTAAACTTTAACAGGTTTTTGGGATTCCCCGAAAGTGAACATACTTCTGGAGACTATTTTGACATTAGAAATAAACAGAGAGATGAACCTCAAACAGACGATTCGACTCAGCATCTTCTTCCAGTGGAACGGAAGACTCAGTAGACTCGAAGCTTGATGATGACGTACTGCAAGCAACCAACCCATTTCTTCGTGAAGGAAAAAAATTGAATTTGGAGCTTAATTTAGCTTCCGTTGATATTCTCCGACGGACGAAAGTAGACAGAGAAGCCGGGAATTGAACGGGGAGGAGGGTATTACAAGGGTTTAAGGGTTTCGAGAGATGGGTTGGAGTTAACGAACTCGAGATATAGAACGCCATTGTTCAATCATCAGCGTAGATAAATTTTCCTCGCTAACTTTTTTTTATTTCCACTCGATTTCTATGTGCAGGAAAACGATAGCATATACATTTTGTAGAGATGAAATTTGAAGCTGGGTTGGGTTTCTTCACGGAGATTGGAAGAGACGATCGAAACGCTGCGTTTGAACATTCTCTCAAAAACGCATCGTTTTTCACCGGTACACTATCAAAATCGAATTTCCGGTAATATAGTAATTTCGATATCAAACCGGTTTGGAACGTGCAAAAAAGAAAACGCTTGATGTTCGGATGAAAGAGACCGTTGTAGATCTGTCCTGATGATTTCTTCTTCTTCTTCTTCTTCTTCGGAGAAATGGTGAAACACAGAAGCTCATCTCGCTCGATAATCTCATCTTTTCCTCCAGCTAGATTCTTCTCCATAAAAGCTATCTCTCTCTACTTGATCCTCGTATTTGCTTTTACCATCTGGATTCTTGTCTTCAGCTCCAGAAACATACAAACCGATGATGGCCAAACCCAACATCAGCAGCAACATCGGGATCTAAACGATTCAGAAGAATTTTCGCCGCCATATTTACCTCCGAGGAAGGTATGATCCTAATTTTAGTGGGTTTTGGATTTTAGACGAAGAAATGAAGCGACTTGATTTGGTTTCAGATTGATTTTGATCGGGACAATTAGTAAAGAAAAACTCTTGATGAACCTATTTGAGCTTCAGAATTTGCAGAAATCGAATGAAAACACTCAACTTTGGACTCCTCCTTTCAGCTTCGGTTTGCATCCATGTGTCAAGCCTACTCCTAAATACAAAGGTAACAAATAAAAAAAGCTCCATTTCAATTTCTGCTGGATCGATTTAGGATTTTATTAATGGAATTGAAAATTGTGCTTTGATTTCATTTTAGATTCTTTTCTTTCTGTTGGTCTTAAAAACACAATTTTCCTTATCTTTTGCAGAAGCTGCAGAATCAGATCATTATATAACAGTGAGAAGTAATGGTGGGCTAAATCAAATGCGCACTGGTGTAAGTATAACTAAACCAGGAACAATTCAATATGAATGTTTCTCCTAAACTCCAACTGATTCGATAAGCATGTTGTTCTTACAGATAGCGGATATAGTATCTGTTGCGCACATCATGAATGCAACTTTAGTCATTCCTGAGCTCGACAAGCGGTCGTTTTGGCAAGATTCAAGGTATTCGAAAACCCAAACAAAAAACAAGCAAAACTGGTTTCTAGCTCTGAATTAGTAGTTATGAGGTTTGTGATATTGCTAACTTCAGCTTCACTGTGCCTCAGTGTATTTTCAGATATTTTTGACGAGGAGCAATTCATCAGATCCCTGCGAAGAGATGTGAAGATTATCAAGAAGCTCCCAAAGGAAGTTGAGTCTCTACCTAGAGCAAGGAAGCATTTCACTTCCTGGTCTTCTGTAGGATATTATGAAGAAATGACGCACTTGTGGAAGGAGTACAAGGTCTTATAAGCAACTGCTCTTTTAAAAACTGTAGCTCCTGTTTTTCTTCATCTTTCTCTGTACTCATTGTGTAGATAATTTTAGCTGTGTTGTGAACCGCTGACAGAGTTAACAACAATTCAGGTCATCCACGTCGCCAAATCAGATTCTCGCCTTGCGAATAATGACCTGCCTATCGACATTCAGAGATTGAGATGCCGTGCACTGTACCGTGGTCTCCGCTTCTCTCCTGCTATTGAAAGCCTTGGACAGGTTTGGACCCTTTTCGCTGTTCATGTTTATTTCTTACTCTTCTTGTGTGTAATCACCCACACACACACACACACAACAAAGATAGGCTGTAGTGAAAAGTTTATTCCTTTGCATACACACAAGATTTCAAGTTTATGTTCTCTTTGGTTAGGCCAATCCAAGGTTCGGGTCGGTGAGTTGTTCATCATAAAGTGCTAGAAATATTAAAATTATAGTTCATGATGAGCTTGGGGCGTTATTAGGAGAATGAACACATTTTGTTTCTGTCATACACAAGTCTCAGTAGTTTATGCATTTAAGAGGTGTCCTATGGGGCTTCCTGTAGACTTTGGGTTCTGAGCAATCCTGCCGGTGACACCACAGAAGCTGGTCGAGCGGCTCAAGTCACGCGCGGGGAGATATATCGCATTGCATCTGAGATATGAGAAAGACATGTTGGCTTTCACTGGTTGTACCTATGGCCTCACTGATGCTGAGTCCGAAGAACTCAGAGCCATGCGGTAATTGATTACTCTGTGCATCTATCTTAACAAAGCAAACATGAACATAGTTATAAAGTTAGGGTTTTTAGCTGAATGTAGTATCGGTTGATCACAGGGAAAGTACAAGCCATTGGAAGATCAAAAGTATAAACTCGACAGAGCAGAGGACGGAAGGACTTTGTCCATTGACTCCAAAAGAAGTGGGGATATTTCTCAAAGGTCTTGGATATCCTCAGTCAACAGTCATTTATATTGCGGCAGGAGAAATCTATGGGGGTGATGATAGGCTCTCGGAGCTCAAATCTCGCTTCCCGAATCTAGTCTTCAAGGTTTGTTTATAACACGACCTCTTAATGTTTGGTTTTACTGGCAATCTAAAAGATGATGTAATCTTTCATGTGCTGAATTCTGTAGGAAATGCTTGCTGCGGAAGAAGAGTTAAAAGGTTTCACAGGCCATGCGACCAAAACGGCTGCTCTTGATTATATAATTTCAGTCGAGAGTGATGTGTTTGTTCCTTCACATTCTGGAAACATGGCAAGAGCCGTTGAAGGTCACCGCAGATTTCTAGGGCATCGCAGGACAATCACTCCAGACAGGTTCTATCTTCTTCCGTTTGTTGCCTTGTAATTTCAAAAAGATTTCGTCTTTTACTCATTTTGGTAAAAGCCCTTGACAAGTATTGTGTTGGTATGTAGGAAAGGGTTAGTGAAACTATTCAATAAAGTGGAGAGAGGACAGCTAAAAGAAGGAGCAAAGTTGTCAAGTCTTGTGAAGCAGATGCATCAAGCCAGGTAACAAAAGAATCAAACATTTGCATCTTATACTACAAGTCACAGAATGCAAAAAGAAAACATCTGAGATGCGAAAAGAGATTCTTTGGATCGGTTTTGCAGGCAAGGTGCACCGAGGAGAAGGAAAGGACCAGCACAGGGGATCAAAGGACGTGCTCGGTTTCGAACTGAGGAAGCCTTTTATGAGAATCCATACCCAGAGTGTATTTGCAGTTCAAAGGACCACAAAGAACCCTAATAAATTTTGCCAACTTTTTTTTGTTTTTGTTTGCTTTTAGTGACTCCGAACATTTTCTTTGTTCTGTATCATTAAGCCAATTTATTATAGTCAGCTTAATTATATAATCCTCTAACTATTCCTCGAGATTTCTCCCATTTTACTGTAAACCGAAGCTATTTTGAAGTCTGGTATTTAGCAACATAAACTATAATGAAACACCGAGCTGCTACTGATCATTCAGAGAAAATATTTCTACAGTTATTACAAGAAAATCAAGTATCAAACAAAGCCGTGTTAGATTTTTACAGACAAAAGTCATCTAAAGGATCTGCAAATTAAAAGAAACCCATTCAATTTGAAGCGTGGTGGCTCTTTCTCTTAGCTCTGCTCTTTGTAAGGAGTCCAAATCATTTTGCTAACATCTACATCAAGACCACCTCGGCCCGCGGCTTTTAGATGTCGGTCCAGTACTTTGGGATCCGCGCAGATCACGTGTTGTCCTTTCCTGTACTGTATCAGTTCCAAGCTCTGAAGGGTGCTCAATATATCTTCTGCTTTGATCGCCGTCATGTCGCTCAGCTCCTACATCATTTGAAGAAAGGTTTGGGTTTACTAAACAATCTGTTGATGGATAGGCTAAGAGCAAGATTAAGGATATATATATACATATATACCTTGATAGATATGTTTCCCTTGTGCTTTTTCAAGATGTCTAAGAGAATCCGAGTCCAGTAACCTCTGTAACTCACTAAACCTAGATCAGACAGGGGTCTTTCTGGTGTCCCGACTCTGCCCTCTTTCTTTGAGAGTTCATAGGCTATATATAACACAACATAATGGGTAAGTTGTTATTAACTTAACATAAAAGAGACGAGTAAGCTTTATATGTGAGAGAAAAGAACAAGAGAGTTCAATGGAGAAAAAATAAACTCACAGAAGGCTATTAAGAATTTGCCATAGCCTTTCCTTTGGTATGGAGGAAGGGTAAGGATGCAAGCCAAGTTGTACGATTCCTCAGAATGCTTTTCCTGTACCAACAGAAATTATGTTTCATCATCGACCAGAAAACTGAAATCAAACATATCTACATTCCTAAAAACAACGAGATCTTGGAGAGATAGTGCGTCGATAACCAAACAGCAAAAACTGATAAGAACACGATCAGCAAAAAGTACCCGATAAATACTTCATCAATTTACGTGCCACTTACCAGTTGTAACCACGTAACAGCAACCACAAATGAACAAACAAAAAAGGTTATGGTACCTTTGAAAAGTATCCAACCATGTGGCATCCCCGATCATCGCATTCACACAGAATATAGAACAGGAACAAATCAACGTCGTAGTAAAGAGTTTTGTGGTCAAGAAATAACTTTGCGAGGTAGCAGAGGTTCTGTGCGTAGACCTTGTTCTTTTTGCCATCTACCTGTAAGATTAAAAGCAAATTCCCAGGTCTGTGAAAATTCACTTCTGAGTGTACAGCACAACCGACTGAGATCAAAAATAGTCTTTCAGCTTCCAGATAAATAACGTAAGTGACAAAGCTGAATATTAGCGTCACATGCAGGAATAATTAAGAACAGAGAATATCAGGATATTACCTCAAACATTGACAAGGTAGAACTTCGATAGATTTCATCACCAGGTGGGTGCTTTAGATCACATTTCCTCTGCATATAAAAAGGGCGATTTCAAAATTTATAGGAAAAAAAAGAACGAACTACTTGAATGAAAGCTCAAAATATTCAAAATTAACTGGGGGATACTATACTGTGAGTCTACAACCACGAAACGAAATACAGCAACGGCGAATATAAATGATAAAAAAAAAAAAAAAAAAAAAAATACAACTAGTTGCTCACCATATGTCTTTGAAGCTGTTCTTTGCGCTTCATGAAATTCAGGCAAAACTCACAGAAAAAGAGCTTCACGCAGTCATTGTATTCTGGCGGAAACGGAGAGAAGTACCATGTTTCAATCTCATATTTCCCAAGCTCAATCGTTGCTATGTTCTTCACTTTCGTGAACTCCTCATGTTCACGCAAACTCGCAGCATCCAGCTCTTCATGACCCTATAAACATATTGAAAAAGTTATCAGACTAAGTCACACACTTCAGTGAACCACAACAAGTTTCTACTGAAGTTATAGTATCACTGACCTCTACGTGAGTCTCATCGATCTTCCGTTTCTGGTGTCGAGTCATCTTCAAGCTAGTCACCTGTAATAAAAAATCTATATATATTACTTCTCTGCTCAGTGCGAAATACAGAAAGTAAAGCTCGAGAATTTGAAGAATGGCTACCTTGTCTTCAACTTTTTCATCTAAGGCGCACTCTACGGAATCAAGGTCAAGTTGATCTAGCTTAATCCATTCATCAAGTCTCCTATTGACTGCAATTTTCAAAAGAGTGATGAAAATCAAACACTCGTACGATTTATACTCCACATTTTAGCAATCGCCAAAAATTTTAAATTGCAAGCCCTCTCTTGTGTGTTCAGAGACTTTCCATTTTCCGCAGCTTCTGATCGTATTTTTTTCGAAATTTCAGGTTCCAATCCCTAAACCCTAGATCACAAAATTGGAAAGGGAAAGGAGACGACATACACTCTGTGTAATGAACATAATACTCGTATTCATTGTTGCCATCACTATGATTCTTCCGGCGCTCGATAACCTTGACGGGATGATACTTTCCGTCTCTCCACTGACACATCACGCGAGTGCCCACCTCGAGCGGAAGCAGCCCCGTTCTCCTCTTCTTCGACGATTCCAATTCCGAGGTCGTGCGATCGAGTATCGCGGCAGGGGTATGAGCCGGATTCGCATCTCCGCCGTTGGTTGACGGATGCTTGTGGTTCGACGCCGGCGCGACGGTGATATTCGTCGTCTCTGTATTCGCAGACGATCCCATTTTCAATCGGGTCGGAGATTATCGGGTGGATTTTTTCTCATGCGGGTAAAAAAAACACAATATGTGTAATCTTTATGGAATTTGGCCCATTTAATCTCTTATAGTGGGCTTCGGGGATATATGTTGTCAGATTAATCGGATTATTATTATTTTCCCATGTTTAATTAATACAGCATTTTAGAAAGTTTAGAATGGTTGAACTTAGGTTTAGACTTTGATGTGATGAGGTTTTATAATTACAGTGTTAGAAATGTAGAATGTTAACATGCCAAATAAATAATAAATTTTAAAATAAAGAAAATAAGAGCAAATGTAAGACAAATAATTTACTAATAAGAGCAAATGTAAGACAAAAAAGTATTAATAAGAGCAAAACAAGTGACAGAGGGAGTTTTTGTCGTAAGAGAGAAACAAGCCAAACAAGGCTTTATGATTCGTACTAATCACGAGATTCACAGATCGATACATCTCACAAAGTTCCAAGAAGCAAAGACCAACCCACAACTCATCATCATGTCTTTGAAGTTGAAGTTATGGTCGTTAGATTCGCACACCAAGTTGATAAAAGGAAATTGGCACTTTACTATTTTCATCTTCTCTAATATACTAATTTTCTACTATTAGGTACAAAACTACTTACATAAAAATGATACAATATAATATGAAGAAAGCATAAAACTGATTCCTATTTTCAGTTTTTCACATGTTAACACGTTATATGGGACAACCTGACAGAAACCAAAACACCTATAATGAGATTTATTTAATCATTCCATAAAAAGAATATAAAACATGCGAAATTCCATCATTTTGCGAGTACCAATTCAGTATATATTTTCTTTAAAATTTAATTATTTTTTAATACGCGTAATTCAAGAAACATCTCAGATTATAAAGACAAGAACCCTCTTTCTTTCCATCTGTCTCCATAAACGGTTTGCTCAAAACCCTCTCAGTGAGATGGCTACTTCTCTCATCTTCCTCCTCTTCATCGTTGTTATCCTATCACCAACCTTAATCTCAGTCAAATCCAACACAACCACAATCGAAACAACTTGCAAAACCACAAACAACTACCACCTCTGCGTCTCAGCTCTCAAATCCGATCCAAGAAGCCCCACAGCCGACACAAAAGGTCTCGCGGCTATTATGATCGGCGTTGGAATGACAAACGCCACCGGCACGGCCACTTATATCGCCGGAAACCTAACCGCCGCCGCTAACGACACCGTTCTTAAGAAGGTCTTAAAAGACTGCTCCGACAAGTATACTCTTGCCGCTGATTCTCTCCGGCTAACGATTCAAGATCTTGATGAGGAAGCTTATGACTATGCTTACATGCATGTGTTGGCGGCGGGGGATTATCCCAATGTTTGCCGGAATGTTTTCCGGCGAGTTAAAGGTTTGGTTTACCCGGCGGAGATTCGTCGGCGTGAAGTGAGTTTGAGACGTATCTGTGGTGTTGTCTCCGGGATTCTTGATCGGCTTGCCGAATGATTCTAATTGTATTATCTTTCTGAAAGAAAAAAAAAATAACATTGGTAAAATGACAATGATCTCTGTTTTTTTATTATGGTAATGGTAACATGTAAAATATTTTTGTTATTGAATTTGTGTTTTTTAGTACCAGTTAGTTTATATGTAGTTCCTCTTTTTTGCTTCGTACTTTCACATTGCTGACCAGAGCAATAGTAGAAAGTAGTGAACATTGAATAATGGATTTTTCAAACTCTCTATCAATTTACCAGTTAACGTCGTTATACCAAAAACTTAAGTCGTGTTTAGTGCCAAAGATTTGGGGGAAAAGGCTTGAGTTGAGATATTTTTATATTTATTTGATGGAATATTATTTATTTGACCGGTTCTTTTGCTTTATCTATATATGCATTATACGTGTTATCGCTTGGGAGAATATGTTACACTTTAAAAATTGCGATAAGGTTTTTTAAAGTGTCATTTAAAAAGGGAAAGGTAACGTCGTCTATGCAAATTTGAAAGGAAAAAAAGCTGAACGATTATGGACCTCATAACTACTACCACTTTTAAAGACGACGTCGACTGATATGCAAATCAAAAGCAAAAGATGTATGGCTTTTTGATATCTATAAGATTAATTCAGTTTAAGTGGAAAACTTTGATTTTTTTTTTTTAAAAATGAGATAAATTATTGAAGTGAATGTCTTCGTAGGTCAGCGACTACAGTAGTCTTCGCTATCATATTCAATAGTAACTGACTGATAATTGAATTATGATGTACGTATTGTCCCCGTGATCTGAGGGTTTTAATTCCAAGAGTCAATGGAGTTTGGCTACTCCAGTCAAATATGCGAATATCAGGAAATTTTTTTGGAAAAAGCATATAAACAACTCTGTAAAAATAAAATAAAAAAATGAAGACATAATAACTTTGTAAACAAAAAAAAAAGAAGAAGACATAATATATAAATAATTAAATTATGTATTAGTTCAAAAAATAATTAAATTATGTATTAGTTCAAAAAATAATTAACTCGGTGTAGGTTTAGTCGGTGGACAAAATCGTCATTTGACACGGAGACGGAGCCCAATATTTCGCGCCCAAGAGTCGCGCCAGAGTGACAGTCCACGTTTAGCTCTTCTTCTTCCCACTAAATTACCAATTCACGAACAAACAAACCCTAGAAAATTAAAATCCGCCACGATTCTGGGCTCTGTGCGTTACTAGCAAGATGAAGGGAGGAACAATACAGATAAATTGGCACGACGGGAAGCCTGTGCTTACCCTTGATTTTCACCCGATCTCCGGTTTACTTGCCACCGCCGGAGCCGATTACGATATCAAGGTATGCATTTCAGATATCAGTTAGATTTCCCCCAATCTAGGATCTAATCACTATATCTATTTTGACCCAATATCATCTACTAGAGCCGGTAATTTTAGGATTTAATTCTTTTTTAATAAAAAAACTTGCGATTGTTCAGAAACACAAATTCTAAATCCGCTTGATTTTTTTTTGAAATTGCAAGCATTGGAGCATCTAACTTTCAAATTTTCAGCTATGGTTAATAAACTCTGGTCAAGCGGAGAAGAAGCTTCCCAGTGTGTCTTACCAGAGCAGCCTTACTTACCATGGATGTGCTGTGAATACCATTCGTTTTTCTCGGTCTGGTAAGTAATCTGTGTGTCTCTTTGATAATCTCGATGTTCTGGGAAATGATATTGACTAAAAAAATGCATTCAACTTAGTGTTATCAGATGTTTTTTTTGTTGGTGAGTCATAATCATGTGAAAATTTGTGCTGACGAATGTTTTTTGACAATACGCAGGAGAACTACTTGCCTCAGGAGCAGACGGTATGACCAAGAACACATCTTGTGGCTAAAATGCAAATGTGCTTTTGTGTATTTTGAATGCGTAATGAAACTAATTGTGAAGTTCCTCGTTTTATTTATTTTTTCATTAACCAGGAGGCGAGCTTATCATATGGAAGTTGCATCCTAGTGAAACAAATCTGTCCTGGAAAGTTCACAAGTCATTATCGTGAGTCTTCTCATCCTCTGTAATCGTTATATTTGGAGCTAGCAAGAACCATCGTCTTAGAACCAGTGTTGGGCGTTTCGATATTGTTGCTATCAAGAAGGGAGAGTGATCCTGTAGGTTAGTAACATAGTGGAAATCGTATGAAAGTTTCACCAAAAAAGACCAATTTGGACTCAATTGAGTGTAGGCTTGTAACATTGTGGAAAGCATTAGGTGCTAGACTTTTCATCTATTGTCTCTGGAGCAATGTAGGCTAAGAGAATTGTTTTTACTTTTGTTTGCCTTCCTAGATTTCATCGAAAGGATGTCCTGGATCTTCAGTGGTCTCCTGATGATTCCTATCTGATTTCTGGCTCAGTGGACAACTCTTGCATTATATGGGACGTTAACAAAGGTGAGAAAGTAAAATGTGGACATAAATAGTTTTTCATGTTGCTTCCAGATTTTCTGTTTCTCAAATTTCCGTATTTGCTACAAGGTTCTGTCCATCAGATACTGGATGCCCACTGCCATTATGTTCAAGGTGTTGCTTGGGACCCCTTAGCAAAATACGTTGCCTCTCTTAGTTCAGACAGGACTTGCCGGATTTATGTCAACAAGCCTCAAACAAAGAGTAGGAATGGTGAAAAAATGAACTACATTTGTCAGCATGTTATCATGAAAGCAGATCAGCAACGGGGTGAAGACACTAAGGTTAGAGAGAAGATAATTTTTCTTCATGATTCGTTGCGAATATATACAGTATGCCTGATTTCACAATGACATGACTTGCAGACAGTAAAAACCCATCTCTTTCATGATGAGACATTGCCATCTTTCTTCCGAAGATTGTCATGGTCACCTGATGGATCGTTTTTACTCATTCCAGCAGGTGATTACCCCTAAAACTCAGTCCTGTTTTTTTATTCAGATCATCACAAAGTTTAACTGGATATTAATTATGTTTCTGTCATCACTGTGTTGCATTTGCAGGTTCCTTCAAGCTTTCACCTACATCCGAAGCTATAAATGCTACCTATGTCTTCTCTAGGAAGGACCTTTCAAGGTAAGATGATCAACTCACCATCTCTTGTCTGGAAGTCGCAAGGCTAATGGATCATACTGTGGGCGTTTAAGCTCTTCTTTAAGCTGAGCCAAGTGACCTCGATTGCTGGAGCTTATGTTTGAAATTTTAAGAAAGCAAGAAAAACTCTAACATGTTCTCATTTCTTTTTTTTCCGCGAGCAGACCTGCTCTGCAGCTTCCAGGTGCCAGCAAACCAGTTGTAGTTGTTCGTTTTTGCCCTGTTGCATTCAAACTCCGAGGTTCAAATTCGGGTACATATTATTTTGTCTCAAAATGTTTTCTCAGTAACTTTTGAGATAGAAAAATAAGGCCTTGGAGATGTATATCTCTTCCTTAATATGCTTATGTTGGATCTTGCAGAAGAAGGTTTCTTCAAGCTCCCTTACCGTCTTGTCTTTGCCATAGCAACTTTAAATTCGGTGTACATATATGACACGGAGTGTGTTGCTCCAATCGCAGTCTTAGCAGGTCTCCACTACGCTGCAATAACGGATATAACATGGTAAAAAGAATATGCACATCATCTCAGATTTACATTGAACCCTTCTCCAAATATTCATAGTTTCGAAATGTAACCAGTGATCAAAATTATTTGTTCTAAATAGGTCACCTAATGCCTCGTATCTGGCACTGTCCTCACAAGATGGCTATTGCACACTAGTTGAATTTGAAGATAACGAACTAGGAGAACCTGTCTCCATCTCAGGTTTGCCCTTAGTTCTTTCACTTCGTACCTTCCAGAACATGATTTGACCCATCAATTCGTTTGCAGTCGGAAAGAAACCCGTGGATAGTGAGGAGAAAAGGCATGTTTTCCAGAGAACCGACGAGCTGGTGACCGAAACAAGAGCAGGCGAGAGCAATAAACAGGCTGAATCAGAACAAGACCAAGAGAAAAAACAGCCACTGCCGAGCAAAGTTACCACGGAGAAAACCGATGTAGTGATGACGGAAACAAGACCAGAGATAGAGAAACAGGCATTGCAGAGCAAACCTAAAACACCTGTCTCAAATAAACCGGCGAGGAAGCGCATCACACCGATGGCTATTGACCCCTAGTGGTAAACTAACTACTGATGTACGTGTACTCACTTTTCTTCCAATCTGTTTTCACTTTGTTATGGAACAATTTTAAGAAAGAGGTATACATATGCATTTCGTGTCTATTGGTTTTATTCTTGCTAATAGTTGCGTTTGTGCGAGCATTTTAAGTGTAGATAAATGTGTGATCTATAAACATACCAGATGATAGCCTTTCAAAACAAACACAAGAGGACAACACTCTCATTATAATTTTACCTCACATGTCACAAGCAATCTTATTATTATATAAGTCCCTAAGCAAAGATTAAAAAAAATATATATATATTACATTATGTCACTGTCTTCCTGAAATTGACTTTGTGCTCCAGTTGTCCTCACCGAATTCTTAAAAAAGCTGTACAATTTGCATTTTCTGTTGTCCTCATCGGTTTCTTGAATAGTGTCTCTGCTTCACAAGTAGAGTCTTCATGCACTTTAGCAGCAGCTGCAGCAACATCTGCTCGATACTGGTCAAGCCATCGTTTCCATTTTTCTTGTGCTTCACGAGTAGAGTTTTCATTTACTTTAGCAGCAGCTGCAGCAACATCTTCTCGATACTTGCCAAACCATCGTCTCCATTCTTCTTCTGCATCTTTTGCTTTATCAGATTCTGAAGTCGAAGAAGAAGCTGGCTCGTGTTGTGGCTGCCTTCCTCTCTTAGTCGAAGAAGAAGCTGGCTCGTGTTGTGGCTGCCTTTCTCTCTTTTTCTGCTTAACTTCTTTCGATTTCCTTTTTTGATCATAAGCGATTCTCTTGGCTTTATCGGATAATAGACAGCAAGCATCCGAAACCAGCTTAAACGCACCTTCCGCGCCGTTAAACCTGTTCTTGTCGGGATGAAGACAAAGAGCTAACTTCTTGTACTGTTTCTTCAGTGTTTCGTCATCAGCTAAAGGATCTACACCGAGGATTCCATACCAATCAGATTCGACTCCTCCGATATAAACATCTATTATCGTCAAGACTTGTTTCAAACCATCGAGCTTTGGATACAAATTCCGAGCCTTGTTAACGAATTTCTTCGCCCCATCGTAATCCTTCTCTGAGAGTTTTCTCTCTGCAATATCCAATGCTCTTTTAGCTTCTTCCATGTCGTTTATTTCGCTTGGGAAACAATCGAGAAGCAAAAGAGAAACTAGTTACAGAGATGATGATGTTGGTTCAGATGACTTAGACACGAGCGGTGGCGAAAACGAAAGCAGAGAGGAGAACAAGACGGATGATGATTTTCCTTATACTTAGGTTAATACTATAAGCGTTAGGTTACTACTTAATATAGATGATGATTTTTCCCTTTTCCTTTTTTGCGAAAGAATGATGGTTTCCTTTTCGCGAAAAAGGAAAAAAAGAAATTGATCGATTTCCTTTCTAGAAGCAACAAGGGCTCATACTTTCTTTCTACGCACGGATCAATCATGGGCTTCAAAGTCTTCGGATCCCAAACTTTACATGGCCTATGGATAATATTGATGGGCTTTCCGGGCCCGTTTGAATAACGCTAAATAATTGCTAACCATAATTTTTTACCCTGAAACCCCTTTGTCCCTAATCGCCGTAAAAAAGGTAAAAAAAGAAACAAAACCCAGAATATTCCCCACATCTCTAATGGCCATCGCTCTCCATCCCTGAATCTCATCCACCTCCGACTCTCTCCCTCACTCAACATCTCAATTCAAATTCTCTTCCCAATAATTTCAATTACAGATATTTTTTTTTATAAATATTTATACCTTTACATACACATATATATCCAAATATATCTCTCTCTTCCTCCAATGGATTCTCCGAAACTCCCGTACTCTCTCTCCGCCTCCTCCTCAACCCCATTCGCTTCCTCCGCCGTCAAACCTCACCGGAAAAACCTCCCTTCTCGTAATTGCATCCTCATCATCATCGCCTTATCCTGCATTCTCTTACTTCTCTTAACCCTCCTCATCTACGCCACCACCTCCAAATCCTCTCACAACCGCCACAACACGCCGCACCAATCCCCCTCCTCCGGTGATCCTCCTCCGCCGGAGACTCCTTCCCCTCCTCCAGTCGCGCAGATCCGCCTCGCCTGTAACGCCACGCGTTTCCCAGACCACTGCTTCTCCTCCCTCTCCACACCGGGTCGGGTCCCTCCGGACCCTAAACCGGTCCAGATAATCCACTCGGCGATATCCGTCTCCTTCGAGGGTCTCAAATTCGGTCAATCGAAAATCCAATCTATTCTAGACTCCTCCGCAGGGAATAAAAACCGAACCAACATCGCCACCATTTGCCTCGAGATCCTCTCGTACTCCCAGCACCGCACCGAATCGACGGACGTCGCCGTCACGACCGGTGGAATCAAAGACGCCCGTGCGTGGATGAGCGCAGCTCTAGCTTACCAGTACGATTGCTGGTCAGGTCTCAAAACCGTCAACGACACCAAGCAAGTCGTCGACACGATCACGTTTCTCGATGATCTCGTGAAACTCACCGGAAACGCGTTGAGCATGATGGTCTCGTTCGACAATTTCGGAGACGACGTCGCTTCCTGGATCCATCCAGCTACGGAACGAGACGGGTTTTGGGAGAAAACTGGGCCGACTTTGGGCTCGGGTTTGGGTACGGGTAAGGAGGCTAATTTGGGATTTCCGTCTGGATTAACGGATGACGTGACGGTGTGTAAGGACGGAGGGAAAGGGTGTGGTTATAAGACGGTGCAGGAAGCCGTCGACGCAGCCCCCAAAACTAACGGAACCGTTAAGTTTGTGATACGGATTAAAGAAGGTGTGTATGAGGAGACCGTGAGGGTCCCGTTTGAGAAAAAGAACGTCGTGTTCATCGGAGACGGAATGGGCAAAACGGTAATTACAGGATCGTTGAATGTAGGGCAACCAGGGATGACGACGTACAACTCTGCTACTGTCGGTGAGTTTCTATTAGCGTCACTGTTTAGTTAACTCTCGTTAAATCTTTCTCTAAATTTAGTAATTAACTTCTTTTCCTTCGGCAATTTAATAATATTCAATCAAGAGAGACATAAAATGGGAAGAACAACAGTAAAAGTCAGACATAAATTTGTTCTTTTCTACTCTCAACGGTGTGATCTTTTTTAGTATCTGGGTTTAGCTCTGCCACGTACGTAAGAAGAATAATTATTTATTGTTATTTAATTTTAAGATTGCAAGTTACTGTCTATTGAATGCGACTATTCCTGGTTCCACTAGGGACAGAACCCATGTGATTGATATTTACTTGAAAAATATCCGTTGGATTAATTAGTATGTATTATTATGTTAATTCTAATAAAAATGTTGCAAACTATGTACTGTTCACTCGCACATAATGTTGTCTTGTAAGATTTGGACAGAGTACTTTTTGTTTCTCAATCTAGAAAGTGTTTAATATTATTACATGGCTTTGTGGTTTTGGTATAGGAGTTCTCGGTGATGGATTCATGGCACGTGATCTAACCATAGAGAACACGGCAGGAGCAGATGCGCACCAAGCGGTTGCGTTTAGATCAGACAGCGATTTCTCAGTACTCGAAAACTGCGAGTTTCTTGGGAACCAAGACACTGTTTACGCTCACTCTCTTCGCCAATTCTACAAACAGTGCCGAATCGTAGGCAACGTCGACTTCATCTTCGGTAACTCAGCTGCCGTGTTCCAAGACTGCGATATCCTAATCGCTTCAAAGAATTCCAAACTCGAGCAAGGCGGCGGCGCAAACAACGCCATCACAGCACACGGGAGGATCGACGCGTCGCAGTCCACGGGGTTCGTGTTTTTGAACTGTTCGATCAACGGAACAGAGGAATACATGAAGGAGTTTCAAGCTAGCCCTAAGGGGCATACGAACTATTTGGGAAGACCATGGAAGGAGTTTTCGAGGACGGTTTTCGTAAAGTGTAATCTTGAGTCTTTGATTAGTCCTGATGGATGGATGCCATGGAGCGGGGATTTCGCGTTGAAGACTTTGTACTACGGTGAGTATAAGAATACGGGTCCGGGATCGGTTAGATCGAAGCGGGTTCCATGGAGTAGTGAGATACCGGAGAAGCATGTTGATGTTTACTCTGTGGCCAGTTTTATTCAGGCTTCGACGACTGCTTGAATGTTGTAAAGGAAAATGGGGCGTTTTAGGGTTTGGAAAAGAAGAGAGGAGAAGTCTCGTCATTGTAACATTATTGTAGTTGTCAAAATCTTAGCATATTATTATTGATGATTGAAGATAATCAATCGAAAAAGTTCTAATTTTCGAGTGATGGAAGAAAAAGAAACCCAATAAATCAGATCATACCAAAAAGTGAGAAACTTTAAAATCTTATCATAATTTCCGAGTGGTTTAAACTTTATCATGTAGCAACTTTAGAGTTTTCTTTTTAAAAGAAATGGGTAAATGCGTACTGCTTCAGTGAAACTTACATTTGAACTGTTTCAAAGGGTGAAAAGTAAATTACTTTGTGATATTTACTCCATTGGTGTGAAATGTGAATGATAGCGTAATGAATAAGGTGACAATGGGTCGAAGGAGAGACGAAATGGGGAAGAAAAAACAAAACATAATGTTCTCTCTAGGGCTTGTCATCTCTACCAGCTACTAACGAAGATGGTTAGTAGAAACGTTCTCCTCCTTTAGTGGTGCGTACAGCGTGGTGAGACGGGATCTAGCCCATGGGTCCAGAGGCACTCGAGGTGGCGATTGAGGTGTTGCTGGTTTCGATTGTCGTCGCTCGTTCTCTCTACCGATAAACCTGCAAAATAAAGGGAACTTTCCAAATTAAGATTCGAGTACTTGTCAAAAACGAAATTCAAAAGAGGTCCATTTTATAGTAACTGCGAAAGGCAGAAGAAGTTTGTTTACTCGATATGGACCATTGGTGCAGCATCACCAACACGTATGCGAGTGCGGAGCATTCTTGTGTATCCGCCAGCTCGATCTCTGTTAACATATTAAGATAACAGCTGACGAAAACAGAGTAAACGAAAGATTCACTTGTGTCGATAAGCCAGCAACGTGAAGATTCTTGTGAATTACATCATCTCCTCTAACAAACCCAGCTGCTCGCCTTGCTGCATCGAGTGAGCCCTGTAATATATCATTATCATCAGCGACTGTTATCTCAACCAGAAATTGCTAAAACCGGATAAGCAAAAAACTATTCGTGAGCATTCCAAAGAAACTATGTTGTTTCTGATTATACATAAGATTCAGAGAGAGTTCTAAAACACAGTGGACAAAAAAAGATAAGAACCATTGGATTGTATTTCTAAGTTTATAACCTTATTGGAAAAAAAAAAAAAATGAATCGACACAAGAAGATCGGTTTTGAAAGTTTCTACTATGAAATGAATAATAAGAAGAAGAAACCTGAGCACAGCCGGCCGAGATTCCTGAACCCTTAACTCTGCAACGGCGAAGCGATCGGAGAATGCGATTGGGAAGAAGAAGCTCCTGTGTGGACGGTGGACCCTTGACTTAGTAATGGGCCAGGCTTTTATATTTTGAGCCTAGTAGAATAACATGTGGCCCATATTCAGAACCGGTTTAGTAGCAAATTTTATCTTGCGATTCTGAAAAAATGCGACCAAAGACACATTGATCCACAGGTAAAAAATTAATGGGAACCAGCTAATCTTGCGCCTCAAGTTTCTCTCGATTTGGTTTATATTCGTTAAGAATTCTTTTTTTTTTTCTATAATCACTTATTAAATCTAACATCTCAACTAAAATGAAAAAAAAAGCAGGCCAATAACCAATCTTGTTGCCATTCAAAACGGTTTGATCAATTAACCAAGTTCACCCGTTTTGGCTTTGTAAGGTGACTGATGGTATCAGTTTTCTTGCGTACTCTGTTTCTCTTTGATTCAGCAATAATAATAATAATACAAGTGTTAGAAAGAAGAAGAAAAATCTTTGTTCACGACTTTTCCTTTGACCAAAAACCAAAGACTTTCGTAATAGAGAACAAAACAACTCAAAGAATAAAACACAAATCCCAGTTTTCATACTTTGTGGGCGGTTTGTCGACCTCTCATTCGAACTATGAGTCAAAAAGGTCAGGAGTTCTCAAAGTTGGACTCGTTGAGAGTTTAGAATAATCAAAATATATACTTTAATACGTATCTTGTAAACCCAATCATATATCAGAATATATAGCTACACTTCAGAATCAAACAATAAAAAAGTTAGTTCGATGTATATAGTCAATATCTAAAAAAGAACGAGATGTACACTAAATGGTTATAGTATACAGTTCATTTTCCACATTCAATACAAGTGGTCCGGAGCCAGCTCACTCATGGGTTCCTCGAGGCCATCCCAGCATCCATCTTATCTACATTTTGTATTACGCAATTAATAGTCAAATACATATATTCGTCTAGTCTCTAGAAAGTCTCCCTTAAGAGGATGCTATAGTAAAATTCCATAAGGAAATCAAAATATTTACATTGGAGATAGTTGTTTAGCGGTTCAAAATTTTGTAGTGAGTGTAAGAGTAGTGTTGAGAATTTATATGGACTTTAACGCATCAAATTATATCACAAGATGAGGGAAAAGATAAAGATGATTAGGACTTGTTATAGGCTTATGTCTATGTCGTGTGTGATGTATTCGAATCTTCTAAAGACGAAATTGAAATCACATGTAACATCGTTACATTACATGTTGTGGGTCGATGGGAACTATATGACGTATTCATCTTTTTTTTTGGGACAAATTTGGACCTATTTGCAACAGAATATATTAAAATTCGTATTTAGAGAAAAGCAATTTCATATCAATGATACGAACAATATGATTGGAGAATTCAAGAACATCATTATTTGATTTTACTTTACATTAATAAGAGAATTATAGACTACAATGATTCAATGAGCACTGAATTAAATCTCGTTTTTTAAAGTTTATATTCACTATTCAAAAATTTCAATCTGTTTACAATTTCTTGCTTTTTGGTTTCCTCTCCCAATAAATTTTCCCACGAAATAAAATCCTAAGAACCCTAGTGAGTAAAATAAAAAATTGATTAAAACGGCATGATATGTGTCGTTTTGGTGTCGTAAGCCGAAAGGCAAGATCTTGAATTCACCTTGAAGACCTTAAGAAGATCCGTCAACATGCGCCTAACGGCGGGAGAGCAATTGCTCTGTAACAGTAACAGAATCTTCGTCACGCCGTTAGAACTCGTTACGGCTTCAAGCGCCTTCTCTTCTTTGAAAAGATAAGAGACGCTCCAAAGCACCGTCACGGCGTGCTCCGTCGCCGCCGTCGACACTTTCATCAGCTTCTTAACGACCGTTTTCAGGCACTCGCCGTCTACGCCGCAGATTTCCGATCTGCCTTCCTTGGTGGATGCCAAAGTCTCGAGAAGCTTCAAACATTTCTCCGTCACCGAAACGCTCGACGTCGTTGAATCTGTTAGCAATTCCGTGAGGTCCTTGACGAGTCTCTCTCGGATTAGGCTGAGTTTCACGCGCTTCTGTGAACTGATCGCGATCAAGCAGGATAAAGTCGATTCGATTAAGCTCGGATCGGAATCTCTGCTGATCGATTTCACCAGCTCGGTGACTAATCCGTCTCTCTCGGCGATTAACAGCTTTGACTCGCCGTCGACGGCGAGGAATTCCAGTAAACCGGCGCAGTCAATCTTCAATTCGACATTCCCGGTTTTGAAGAAGAAGACAATTGCCGTCAAACGATCTCGACCGTTGTTTAAAATCGAATTCGAAAACCGTCTCCGATCTGAGATTTTGCTTCGAATCATGCTCAGAATCTTCACCACCTCTTGAACAACCAGTAACTTAGGGGTGGAGGCAGCTTTGAAGTCAACCTGCCCCATGAGATCCACGAGAAGACGCACGAAGTCATCTTTTCCGGCGAGAAATCCTCTGTTATCATCGGACTCTCTCGCGAATCTGAGAATCTTCGATAAAATCTCGCGGTCATATCGCTCTTCCTTCTCAATCTTCACTCTGTCGATCGCATCGGTGATCTCGTCCCTCGTCGGAGCAGCTAATTCTGCCGAGTCTACACAAGCTCGGCGACGAACAGAGTCGGACCAAATCTCAATGAGACGCTGAAGAGTCCGATTGGGTATAAAATCCTTGTTCTGGAGAATCTGCATCGTCGCCGGACAAGTATTATTCCCGCCGTCGAGCCACCGTTGGATGCTAGCACGGTCGTATGTAACGCCGGTGCAAAGGCTCACCGGAGATTTCATAACGTCGAGCGATATAGGACATCGGAAAAAAGTAGGAACGGTGATGTAGAGATCGTCTTTCCTCATCTTGCTTGGCCGTTGTTTTTCCGTTTTGCTCCAGAGAAAGCGTGTGGGATTCCGTCGGAGAGAGAGAGAGAGACTCTGTTTGTGATTTAAGAGCGAGAGAGAGTGCGTGGGGTTTGGTTTAAAAGATGAAAGAGAAAAAGAGTCAAACTTTGCTGACGTCGAATGTCACTTTTTTGACGAGCAATTAGTATTAAATATCTTTTAATGTTATTTTAATGACTAAATCGAATAACTTTCTTTTAACGTAAATCGAATAACTTTTTTTTTCTTCTCACTTTATGCTATTATAAAACAACTATACTACAAAATTAGAATAAAATTTTAGCACACTCCAAAGTTGAAAATTATATATATTCCTTATTCAGAATATATATTGCATAAAAATTCAAAGAAGTAACCAAACTATGTATAATAGTACTGTTGGTCGTTGGTCAAAGAAGTCTTTCGGCGCGTTATGTTGGGTTACATTGCAGCCATCGATCTGGATTTTTAAAATCTAACGTGTTGAAAACGGACGGTGAGGATTTGCGGAAAGTGGATGGAGATATATTAGGAGAGTAGGGTCCACGCTCCACCGTTCAGACTTTGAGCATTGGGTCCAATTACGTCTTCAATACCGCACCGAGTTGTGAGATTGCACGTTTGAGATTTGTGGAAATGCGCAATGTTTTCTATATTATTTTTTCAGACCCTTTAATTTGGTATTTTCTATAGTTCTCCTAAATATTTTATTTCTTAGTTTTCCATCCACATTTCACATTGAAATTTAAAAGGCTTCTATATCGAATATAAAATACATATACTCAAATCCTATTTTGGCTAAAAAAAGGTATTCCCTTGATAAAAATATCTGATTATTTGAAGCTAAATAAGTAATCATAGTATTTTTTTTTCCATGCAATTGCTAATGATCCTGTGTATATATATGTATTAATTATCGAAATATCAAAACTGTTACGAAATTGAAAACACACATTTTCTTTTGGTAATAGTTGCGTTTAAAACTTTAAACTATAGATTTTTCATATTATAATGATGTATTGTTCTTGAAATTTGAAAAATGTAGGCATGACTGAATAAATATCTAGTAACAAATGAAAGAGAAAAGAATAATTATTTGTAATTTTGAGCTATGTATTACTTTATATTATTAGTTATATATAATATATCATGTATACTTCTGTAAAATTTCTAAAACTGAGGCATAAACCAATAATATCTTAAAAGAAACGAAAAAGAGATATTACACAAAAAGAAGAAGGCAAAAAAGAATAAATGAACAATTTGTTCAATTGACCGGACAGATTCTATGGGCTACAATGCATCTTTTGTTGCTCCTCCACTTCTGCTTGTTTTATGTCCGCAACTGGCAATACATGACGTGGCTTCACCTTTATTCTCAAGAACCCCCTTCGATACTTATTTTTAGACTTTGTCTACTTATGTTCATTACAAGTTCACCCATTTTAAAGTTTATAACATTCCGACTAATTTACCCTGTATCATAAATTTTAACCAACCTTGATTTCTATTTTAAAATCGTTATTTTTTTATTATTAATATTATCTAGTTTTGATAAATATGTGTAGTTGACGTCTCATAATTAAATAAAGATTTTTAGTCATCAAATTTTAAATTTTGTTGATTTTGTAATATATAAACAATAAATTTTCGACTTTCTCACAAGGAAGTCATTTACACAATCTTTCTTACCAATAGTTATTTTTTTATTGTTGGTTAGTGAGCTAACACATTATCTTAACATATTAATACAAATGTTAATATTCAACTAAAAAGGATTGTTTTTGAACTTTATTTTTGATATGAAATAATTAAAAAGAGAAGAATATCATGTAATATTTAAAATAAGAAGAGAAAACACAGAAAGAAAATAATAAAGAAATATAATATTCACCAAAAAGGAAGGGCTAAAATGTTGTTTTCAGCTTCCTTTTAGATCCATGAGCATCTCTGTTAAAGAATTCAGACACAGCATCCTTTTTAATCCTTTTGCTTTCCCATTAGTTTAACGAACACGACGCTATGTAATTGTGTATTACAAATCTAACTCGTGTATCATGCACATATGTACTTAAAGTCAAAGTTGAATAATTATCATCAACACTTAACTGCGTGCGTTGAACCGTGATTTACCATTATAATTTTGAGATTTTCTTAACCA